CACATTTCTTCTTCGCTTGGCCTTCTCCGAAGCTTGCTGAGCCGCAGAAACAGTTCATGAATAACTTGACTGAGGGTGTGAAGTATGTGTTAGCGGAGTAGCCGTATCTACAACTCACACAGTGGCATAATGGATACATATGACGGCTTTCCATTCTCCCCGATGGATACGTGCATGCCACTCACAGTCAGCCTTGTCTTCTCAGCAAGCAATCGTCGCGTTTCTAAACACCGGCTTTACCTAGCTTTCAAGCTCATCTGCTCTGCGATCAATAGTGCACACGCTATTCGGTCTGCCTCGAAGGCCTGACGGTATGAAATTTATCCGGCAATCACGGCATGTTTATCGTCATTTTACAAGCTATTCCTCCACATTTTGGCGTACGCGGTACGGGACGGGACGGGAGGCCTAAGAGCGCGTACCGCCCTGGAGGAATAGCATGTTCCTTCGCTCTTCCTTGGCGTACCAAAGCCTCTGCTAATGACCACAGCCAAGCATTTTCACGCATATTCGGCACGGCTTGTCCTATGTTGACACCATGTGCCAAGTCTGTAGGCATAGACGGCATTATCACGGTCTCAAGGCGGCCAGCTATGTGCAAGTCACTCTACAGACTCTCCTTCTCAGTAAGGGTCAAGTGTGTCTTTCTGTGGGGAGTTCTCAACTCTAATCGCGCTACCATCAGAGAGCATGATCGTTAGTGCGCAGGAAAGACTCGCACTCATTCGACAACCTTGGTAGACTCTCACTCTACGAACAGCCTCTGTATCATTCAAAGTCATCTCAATCATATGCGTGCCAGTGTCTTTGGCATCCTATGAACATGCTAAAGTTGGGCATTATAGGATAGTGCGAAGGATACGTTCACGATCCACCCGAGACGGAGCTGGCCGCTCTCAACTCTTGCCAAGATAAGGCGTACATCCCTACGACCATCTACGATCGAAGACATAATCGGCGATCAGTCGTGAGGCTCCATTCAGGATTCATAGACCCACCCTGTATGTTGTCAACAAGTCTTCTTCTGCTCTAGACAGCCGTAGCGGGAACTCGTCCAAAGTACAAAAGGAGGGCTTCTTCTCATTGTACATCAGCCATCACCACAGCAAAACAGCCTCCATTCGATTATACATCTATCCCTCCTCTACACCTACCAACCATGCTCACAACCACAATCATCTCCGCCATTCTGGCCTTCACTCCCATGGCTCTCGCCAACCCCGTGGAGAAGCGTGACCCAGGCAACTTCCGCCTCTTCGAGCACCACTACTTCCAGCGTATACTGAACTCCCTCCTGGTCTCTGCAAACACCTATTAACAAAACCTCAGAGCAATGCGGACCCGAAGCCTGCACCGGCGGCAACGACCTCAACTCCATCAGCATATACGTCCACGACGACTGCAACGGCGGTGGCTGTGATGCCAAACCCACTCCGAACCTCACTTCAGGTGAGAGCTTCTGTGATCTCGAATTTCCCTATTGTGGTGACCGCATCATGCGCCTCGTGAGCCGGGGTCCTGATGACTGCAAGGCTCTGAGTGACCTGAGCGAGGCGAACAATGGACAGGCGTATGCGACGTTGGTGGAGGGTGATACCGATGTGGGGACTTGCTCGGTGGACTTTTCCGTGCATAAGACTTGCAGTGTCTTCGCTGGAGGGTCTGAACATACTAGCCAGGTTTACTGTGCTTTCTTTTAGGCAGATATTGATGGAGATGACTGTTTGCGAAAGGGCAATACATAGCTGTGTCAATTTCACTCATGGATACTGACAGAGATAATGCCACCGTGTTTTGTAGAAGGGTACTAAATTGACGTTCTCTTCGCTTATGGAAAATGTGATTTACTGCTGCATACAGTCGAGCAAGGTGTTTGAGGTACTTACCTTTACCGCAACGCGATACAGTGTGACTGAACAGCGCTATTTCTGTGTCATGTCATCAACATGTTTATCAAATCAGTGTCGAGGGTTTGCTCAACGAGATTACCGTGATAGCTTAGGAAAAACGCTGTAGTCTATCTCCAAGGTATATGGCACATGGTAACATCAACTAATATAGGACTTTCGCTCGTGTGTAGCCTATAGTCTTGGGACGGTAAGCTTTCGTGACGTAGATTACAATATGGATGAGAGTACCAGATGCAGCAGAGCTTAGCTATAGGAAGGGATGCGGCATTACCATTTCTGTGCGCAAGACCAGCCGGATCGTGTTGTAAGCCACCTGTGGCATGTTTCAATACTACAATGCCTAGCCAAAATTACGTCCTTGTGAGGGGCTACGCTTATAAAGCGGTACACAGGTATACTAGAGCTGTGTTTGTGAGAAAAGAGAGCTATAGACTACTAAAAGTCCTAAAGGTTATTTAATCGCAGCTTAAATCAACATCTAGCTAACGACTAGTCATTTTGTCTAAGCGCTTGTTAGACGTGTATAGCTGCGAGACGTATACTTGCGTATAAAACAAAAATACTGTTAAGGATTCCTCTACTAGACTTTAGGCTATTATACTATCAAAATTGATCTCTTTGGCAACTTTGTAGTCCAGGACTCCATCTCCTAATCTATGAGGCTTAATACATTCAGTCACTACTTAGATCAGGTTTATACCTGTACAGATATTACGACCTAGATATAGGCTGGTTCGCAATGTTGTGATACTCAGGTGGCTAGAAACACGAATTGGCTCTTTACGCGCATGGACATGTTTAATCATTTGTGCTAGGATGAAGTTCTAGCATTGATGCTAGAAAGTAGATTACGAGGCGGACACTGCATGAGGTTAGAAAGAGTGCAATGATAGCAGGTGAGAATGAGTCGTGGTAGAAGTTGATTGCATGGAGACTTAAGTTACTGCTTCTAAAATTCACGCGGAAGAATTGGTCTTCGGTTGGGAGAACGCGGCTGGTGGCTGGTTTAAGGCGGCACGAAGGTGTGTATGAAAGAATGACGAGGTTTTTTCGAAGCGTCACATGCCAGAGATTTGATGGGAAATGGTCTGTTGTTGAACATCCGTGGTTGTTTCCAGGTACGATGGTTCTTTCTTGTTGAGCGATACAATGTCAAGCTTCTTAGAGAGATGGCATGTGTTGCTAGATGCGACTGCTGATGCATTTGGTCACACAAGAAAATTCTAGATGTTATGTTGATGCACTTTCTTTATCAGACCCTTATGTTGGCATACACATGAACACCATGGTACCGAAGCCCTACGACTATCAGCTCCATAATTGATTGGTCGGTTTTTCACGGCATTTGCCGATGCTCGCGATGCTCTGTTTCGGAGGTTATTCAATGCCGAAGTCCCGTCTGCATCTAGATCTGTCATTAGCTTGTGCACAGACTTGGCATAGCTTCAAAAGTCTGCGAATGCAATATGTACTGGTAAGATGTTTATGCACCTCCCATAGAACGACTAGGCGACAGATGTTTACAGTGATAAACATCATCCATCCAAGATACCCACCTAATTGATACTAGCGATCATCTTTAGACAACAAAAGTGTATCAACTATTTCATGACGTAGCTTTCTAGATTGCCCTTGGACGTGTTCCTCTGGGCTGTGTATGCGTTGGAAATTTGCTATCGCCGCTGTTGGTCCTCTAGCACTTGACTGGAAACGGCTTTCTTCCAAAATGTAAGCAGGAAGAGCGAAGAATGATCTGATTGAATTTCAACTGACTACCGATGCGAGATCAGTCACCTGTCACGGGAAGCGAATGTGGTATGCGTTATAACATAATTGGCCCAAGGTACGGGGCTTGTGCCTTAGCAACATGCACTAGATCTTTACCGGTAGTGGAATACGAACTGTGGCAAACTTATCAGCTGAACATAAGAGCAGAGATCTAGTGCTTGACGCAGCCTTGGACCTGCATGCTTAGAGGATGGTCAAACTGAAGGTATTTAGCTAATTTTGAAACCTCTAAAACAGAAACGTGATAACTTCCCTATCCGCAGGGTGTTACCTTCATAGGGAAAATTAGAGGTAAGTCCATTGATTCACCATTGCTAAGATGTAGCTGATATGATCGAAATAGTCAAGGTAGTTGATTCGAAGTGAACCGACCTCTTATAGGAAATGGACGTTGGCAAATATTTCCCTTGATGATTGATGGCACCGTACTCACAAAACAAGTTCACTCCGATGGGTTCGATTTTGCTTGCCCGTCCTCATCTAATCATTGCATGGTTACATAGCGGCCGCTCAACCGTGCACTGCGGTCGCTAGCTCTAAATTTTCAACTGTATCCTGGTGCTAGGTTTACGCAAGCACTTTATTGCGCAACCATTTCTCGCAATGTGAACTTGATAGCATTATGGGTACTAGGTGAGATCCCCAGCTTGGATTTTGGATCATGGGGATAACACATAATCGAGACTGGGCAGGCGCCGCGGTGAACGTAGCTGAATATCCTTCTACGTGTTCTTGTAGCATGACCAGGAACGAATCCTAGTTCCGGTCCGTCTCGCAACATTGGAGCCATTGGGTAAAGGCTGACTTGGCACTTTTGTTATGTAAAGTTCTTACCTCGGTGATCGGCCGTAATTTGATTGGCTCGTTGCTTCCGATCTGTGTCATCATGAGAAAATGTAGAAACACATTACGAACATTCAATCAGTTTGTCCCGAACGAAGTTTGATCAACCGAGATACTTGAACACTAGTGAAGTGGATGTGGGGGTTCTTCCTGTCTCTGTTTCGCGAGTTATGAAGGTTATCAACTTGATAACGGCATATATATAGCCTGGGCTGTCTGCATTATTTTCCTTCAGGAAACGCTACAATCCGATTCAACTCAGCCGTCATCATGACTTCGAAAGCATTCATGTTCTTAGATCCATCAACCTCACTAGCATGCGCACAATCTTTTATTGCGAAGCATTTTATCATCGTGGGTGTTGCACTCATATACCTTGCCCTTGTTCGTTGGCTACGTTACAAGCGTATGGACAGAATTGCATCTCCATTTGCAAACGGTAAAAGGCCGTTATCGAGCATGACTACGCAAGAAGCGTTCGAGATAATGGTCCAGCTGCAAGCGCTCGAGTTTCCCTACGCGATGAAGAAGGCGCGAAGTGTTGCGCTTCTGAAGGTATGTGATAGTACTCTAACGCTTGTGGTACTGACGCTGACTTAGTTATGTAGGCGGGCGGGATACCCACCATGTCCAAATTGTTCGCCGTCACTGGCCAGAATAACATCAGAAATGCAGGAAGGCGAGCTGTTGATACGGAGATTCTCCTGCGCGAGTCACAGACACAGCCACGGGATTCTGAACGCTATATGGATGCGGTTGCACGAATGAATTACCTCCACGCTCGATATCGTAAAGCGGGAAAGATCCTAGACGCAGACCTTCTGCACACGCTGGGCGACGGAGCATTGGAAATTCTACACATCATAGACAAGGAAGAGTGGCGAGAGCTCAGCGACGTCGAAAAGTGCGCTGTGGGAATATTCCACCGCAACCTTGGCGAGGACTTGGAGATTCCATTTACTCCATTGAAAAGCTTCAAATCGGGATGGCAGGATGGGTCACATTTTGTGACTGAGCTGATTGAATGGACGAAAGGATATGAGAAAGAGGTTGCAAAGCCGACGGCAACAGGAGATCAGTATGTAAGAGTTTATGTCGACTCAGCTACGAACAAAATGGGCAAAAGAGTCACAGCGTTCATTAGGCGGGTTGTTGGTTCGGATCTGGATGATACAATGAGGACAAGCCTCTGCATCGAAGCCCCCGGACCATTCATTTACGCTCTCCTCTTCGCTATCAGGAACACCCGCAAGATTCTCCTCCGCTTCCTTATGCTACCCCGCCCAGAGTTTCTTGCTTATCATTCTGTCGCGTCCGTTCCAAATGCTGAAGGCCTGTATAACTTCAGTCATGGAGGTTTCCAGCCCTGGTATGTTCGACCTAGCTTGTGGTCAACTTGGAGTCCTGGGGCAGCGCTTCTAAGGATGTTTGGTGCTAGGAAACCCGGCAGCAAAGGCGATAGATATAAGCCGACAGGGTATGATTTGAAAACAATTGGACCGCCACCGCAAGAAGGGAAGGGCTCTGAGGAGATGAGGGCGGCAGTCGAGTTTATGAAGGGTCGGGGAACAGGGGAGTGTCCGTTTTCAGGTATGAAGCAGCGTAAGGATTCTGATCTGGCGAAAGGGTAAAATAGTCACGCAAAGGGATTCATGATGACTCAGGTCAATCAAAGCCTTGGGGGCCTACGGACACGAACTGTATTGATAGAGCTAGATATTAGACGGCCTTGCCACTGCCAGCAGAGAGAATGGTCAATCGGCACTGGCTATACTCCTACTTTAAACGTCCACACTGGACTGTGTCGCGAAGAGGTACATAAGCTATCACTAGTGATAGGATAGCATGCAGCCCCAGATAGCATATGACTTTCCGAATTATAGCTACTACGAGATCTCTGCTGTACTCTTAGACGTTACACTCTCTTCCCTGCTCTAATTGTCATAGCGCTTGTGGGAGCAGCTTTTTATCACACGACTCCACAGCAGCTATTCTCTCAAGATATATAGGCTATTTCTACCTTTTTATAACGTACGTGCATGCTTCGCGGATCAACAGGCTGTCATAAGGCGAAAAGAGGACTGCTAACAAGTTTGCGTTGGCTCCTATGTACATAACAAGAAGAACAAAAAGAAGAGTAGTATTTGCCTCATGTGCTATGTATCTTGCGTTCGCTATTACAAAGATAGACATGTAAGAAGTCCTTTATCGTAGCCTCTTACACCATCATTTCAAGCACACTGCTTTCTAGCACGGTAGACTATCCTAAAGACGCTGCTAACGCTGTAACAAGATAGACTGCGATACGGGAACGTATAATCATATAGTAGAGGCAGCCCCTTGATGATATTCTCGTATCTCTTATACTATATCATATTAGAGTAGGTTGTGGCAGGCTATCATAGAAGTAGTTCGATAGAGTGCTAGTGTAGATATATCGGGAAGCTTGCTGACTTTAGAAGCATGCAGCTATAATATTTTACATTTTTATTCATGTTGTTGATTAGGCTTATATTTATCAATTTATATTACGTTTTACATAGAAGTTGCAATGTTAGAGGTAGTCGATAATACGACCTAGTTTATTTCGCGCACACACAAAGTACCGTTGGTTTTTCAGCTTAGAAGATTGGCTCTTTACGACCTAGAGATCTCATTCGAAGCTCTCTCGACAGCAACTTAAGACTCAGGCCTCACAGCATCTCATCAAAAACCACACGTATATGAAAGCTACCTTTAAGAAAGAAGGTATATCGGTGACAACGAAATGCAACCGAGACGAAGGAAAGAGCGACGATCATAGTATCCGACAATGACTTGATATTGCTAGCTAAGCGCGCTTCGATCGACCGCCAGCCGAAGACTGCGACTTCTACCTTCGCACCATCTAACCTTTCCTCGAGATGTCAACGTCGACCTCCCCAAGGGCACCAGAGTCCTGGTTCCAGTCACCAAGAGTAATGCCGTAGTCCTTGTTACGGTTTTGGATCTGAAAGTTGTTCGACTTGGAACCCCAAGGGCAGGACCAGTAAACGGTGCAGACTCTGTTGTCTCCGTCATAGATGTCACTGAGAATTGTAGTATTAGTCAAAGTAGGTGACGAACTGCGCGAAGTTGCGATCATCACTTACAATTTACCCTCGGTGCCGGAAGCGGAGTCAGAGCGTCCACAAGAGGATACCTTCTCGCTCGAGCCTGCGCCAACGCTCACTTTGTTCACTTCACCAGCGCCTATTTCCGCGTCTTTGTTGCCGTTCTTGTGGAATTTACCCCCTTGAAAGGTGCGTCAGCGATTGATCTATCGGAAGTAATACACGATGATGGTAAAGTGATCCGGAAACGGAGATGGGAAGAACCTACACATGGCTTCCGCGTTCTTGATACTGATCGATCCATTTCGGAAACTGTTGATGATATGAATGACGACCCATTGTGCGTATGCCATGATGAGACGATGTAGGTGTTGGAGATTGGTGAGATATTGGATTGAAGTGGTAGGTAGCGAGTGCTTGGATGCTGGGAGTGATTGCCTGGAAGCCCAATATATACCCAGTGGAGATTTTACATGAGCTTACGTGTCTATGGCTCCTCTTACATCCAAAAAATCTAACTCTGTGATTATGGAGCTTCGTCCCAGGAATAAACAACGACACCCTCATTCTCTCTCAGACTCTAGTTTGAAAAAGCAAGCACCCTCTGATTCTATGAAACCCAACGTAATTCTCGCTCGACAATAACCATGTCTGGAAAATGCTACTGACAGCCTAAGTGGGACTCCACTATCGATAGTCATGTGCCTGAGACTGGACACCGGTCTCTGCAGTTTCCATTCGAAACAAGCAAGCAATTGTCGCCATTAATTGCGCAAAGCGGAAGTTTGGAATGCAAGTCAGTGTAATGCGTGCGTATCTCTTCGTCGCAGTATCCGATTCCAGCAAATGCGATGTGCAGGAGGGCTTCTCGCGAAGCCATCATGCAGGGCGATAAAGCGGTGTAGGCTGCGCAAAGCCACCCAAACGGACTCCCCGATTGCTAATGTTTCTCCGTAGCGAAAGCTAGCCTGCCATCTTGACGCACAGCATCACAACATCGCTAACTCCGCTACAACGGGAGACCATCCCTAAGCACTTTCCTACCCAAACTCGGATCACAGTCGGTGAATCACGCCAATACGGAGGTCTTCGATAGCAGCCAGTGTATTATCTGTACTACACTAGACCCATATACATTGCTGAAGAATTCTATCACGAGGCATAATGTCAACGAGCTTGGGCACGTCCATCTACCGAAACCGTAATACGATTTTGAGAATAACTGAAATCCTGATTTGTCTAAGCTGACTGAGCTAGCAACAGTTAGAGCCAATGCTATGAGAACACGATTGCGAATCATCCTACTGCGATGTGATAGACCTAAACGTTTACGCATACTTTGTACGTAAGAAACAAATTTCCTGCCAAGCGCCCAAGTGAATTGTTCTCGTACCGTCTGTGCACATTGAGATGCCACACACTCGAAGCATATAGACATATCGAGCAGAGGCCGAGATTCGTGGCGAATTGAAATGTCTGGTGGAGATTGTCATGCAAGTCATCGCACGCCGCTACCTCGATTTGGAAAATGCGAACGCCACCAGAACGGCCCGATCCGACTACGCTAAAATTTACAGGCCCGGAGGTGCAGACGGAAAAGCAGGAGGACGGTACGTTACCCTTCGCATGCGATCCACTCCGCAAAAGCAAATCTCGTCACACGCGTCGTAAGGTTCTTTGTGTTGGAGGGAACGGAAAGTCACCACTGCCTGGGGGGACAACGATCCGAGCCGCCCGCGAGCACCCCCGCCTGCAGACACGATAGTCTAGCCCAGTCAGCACAGTTGATCTCTAGGTATAGCGGTGAAGTGAGGATCGATGCGAAGGACTGGCAATGCGTCCATCGAGTTCTGTCAAACCTTTCGGCGCCTAGGTAGGATGATCTCAATGCAGATGCATTCCTTGAACACACCACATATGCTGCATGCAGCTGCGGAAGACCTTTTTGTGGTACGCAGATCTTGCTCGACGTATGGCTGACTTCTCGGCGCCTGGTTGCACGGATTTCGAGGTTGCATCTGGCTCGAAATCGAGGACTCCAGGTTGTACATTTACAGCGAAGATGTTTTAGCACGACATTCCTATACAATAACCAAGTATCTATTACTCTCGCAAAACGACACCTAACAATTCCAACAACATTTTTTCACCATGGGAGAAGTAGTTCCGTACAAGGCAGGCATGCAGCGTGGACAAGGGTGAGATCTGCCTTCCGATTCAAAGGAGCGGCAAACTAAGCATTCTTCAAGTTACAATACCTATCTGCAAGCGCTTTGTGTCAAAGATGCGGTTACTATCGAGCGTCACGATGACAAGGACCCTGCATTTAAAAGAGAGTATTATTCTGAATTCATTGAAGAATACGAGTAAGTATATCATCTTGCCCAGGTAGCGTCACTTGCTTACGTAGTTGTCTCAGGAAGATAGCAAAGAGCATGAGAATCAGTGCTGGCGCCGCTGTCTCCGGATGGGGTCAAGAGGGCAATGTCAATGTCGATGTCCTCAATCGTAGCGAGGTGTGTACAAATACTCATTTCTCTAACGACCATAGGCTGAGTGACATATAGTTTGAGACCAGCACTTTGACATATGAGGTTAAAGTCTTGGTTCAGCACCAAGTAAGCGTGGTTGATAGGCACTCCTTCAACAAGATCCAGACGGACAACAAGCACGCGACATACGGTGACCGTTTTATCTCCGATTTCATAAAGGGCGGTCATTTCTACGCCCGTGTCTCTATCACAGCGAAAAACTCGTCTGAGACCAGCGAGCTCAAGCAATCGTAAGCGTCCACCGTTAGCTGAGTAACACAGCTCTCCAGTTCTTTCGGCATTATCAGCATCCCGCTAACTTATTGAATAATAGCGCTGAAGTGGCTATGACTATGTACGGCGTTTCTGGAAAAATTACGCAAGAAGTCGAATCAGCCGTCAGCTCCATCAAACGAAACGCTTCGGTCAAGATCACCATCATCGAGTCCACGGGAACCAGCAAGAGTGGTACCAGTGGAGGAGGCTACGCTGTCAAGGCTGAAGAGAGCTCTGACCTTCTGGCTGTGAAGGAAAAAGCAGACCAGTTCTATAAGGACGCGGATACGGGAAAGCATTCTTATGTGTTATTGTAGGTTGTCTCTCATTCTGGATATCAGATGAGAGATTCGAGGCTAACATGGCTTGGCACAGTGCGGTGCTGGGAAAGTACAGGAACCTCTCCAACTTTGAGAACTATTTTACTCCGTTCGATTACCAGATCGCTAGTTTGAGGGTGAGCTGCAACCTACTGATTAGACACTATCCATGCTAACGATCTCGAAAAGTCCTGGGCGCTTTTCAACGACTTCACGCTATACAAGGCTATCGAAACCATGATCAAGGCTGGTAAGTTCACTTGTAGACATTGGCTACTTTGGCTAAGGCGATTTCCATAGTGCCGACTAGCAAGTTCAAGGACGGTCCCGAACGAAAGACCCAATTGTCAAACCAGGCCATCAACATCTTCGAAAGTATACGAAACAGGGTGATCCGTATCTCCGAACATCCCGAGGAAGCCAAGCAGAAATCCGACCACATGGAACCGGACGTCTTTCGACTTGAGGTACTTGTAGGTTCATCCTCTCATACTACTTTATCCCTTTTGACATTCTAAGCTAACTGCTTCTCCTTCTACAGAATTCAATCCAGACAAAGCTCTTCCATGCTCAATCTAAACCCATCCCTAACACCGACGATTACTGGACCGACGTGATTCTGCCCTCGAAGGGCTCAGGCGAACAGCATCTCTTCACTTTCCCGGCCTTCGACTTCGGCGATTTGATCGGCACCGAGGTGGTATCTTTTGGGAAGAAGAATAACGGCGAAGAATACAATTGCCTGATTGGCGAGCGCGCGACGAGCCTCGATGGCTACAAAGAATTGAGTCACTTCTGGATCTTCCCAGACAGTGTCGAAAAGTTCGCCATGCAGATGTATGGAGTCAGCAAGGTCTCGACGAGGAACTACATGAGAGTATATGCAGCGGACCAAAGCGATATCGAGAACCCAAGGCCTTACCAAAGGTTTTGGTTCTTCGTGCCGTCCGCTTGATTGGATAGGTATCTTGGCGTGACGTCATGCCAGTTCTATCTCAGCAAACCTTCAGCAAATACAATACAACACTCTCTTTATACTGATACAGTCTTGTGCAGCCTGCCTCTACAGTGCTATAGGTTACTGTGATCCAAATTCGGCATGGCGGGAGCTCAGCCAAGATCCACGCTTAGAGAAGTCTACCCCGCTTCGTCATCCCCGCACCTAGCACCTCTCCCAAACTTCAATTCTAGCCACGAGTCTTAGCCGGCAAACTGTTTCGGCCACCGTTTTCCGTTCATCTGGCTTGGCTAGGACAAGTCAGCAACCATGTTCCCAGCCCATCGGGATGACTCGCAGCACTGCCCCTCCGATCTTTCCAATCCTGTCGCGCCTACCATTCCATTGCATCGAGTGAATTAGAAGTGAATAGAAGGTATATATAACATTAATTGAAACCATCATAGCTCTCAAGCTATACCAAAAATCTCTAAAGGCATACTGAGAACAATTCGTAATAATGAAAGCCGGCCAGTGGGATCCGTAAGTGCACAAAACACTTCCGCTACTACATAAAACTCACGCGAACTTTAGCAAGGAGAAAAAGGTCGTCGTGAACGATGTGCCGAAACCAACCGAAGCTCCAAATCAGTTTCTGGTCAAGATACAATCTGCATCGCTATGTCACTCCGACCTCCTCCATACTATGAGGCCGGACTACGCTGTCACGCTGGGACACGAAGGAGTCGGCTATATTGAGTCCATCGGTAAAGAGGCGATCGACAGAGGCTTTCAAGTCGGCGACGCTATTGGCTTCAACTACTTCATCGGTGCTTGCTTTGATTGCGAAGGATGCATGGTTCACAATGTGCGATGCGAGACAGGTAACCAGAAACTGCAGGGTTTCGTAGTAGATGGATACTTTGCCGAGTACGCGGTTGTAGATTGGCAGAACGCTATCAAGTTGCCCGAGAATTTAGATATGAGCAAGACTGCGCCACTGTTCTGCGCCGGTATTACAGCTTTCCATTCGGTGGATAGCTGCGAGTTGAAAGCAGGAGATTGTTTAGCGGTAATCGGATGCGGTGGCTTGGGCCAATATGCTATTCAGTATGCAAAAGCTGTGAGTTTGCATACAAGCATGTACCACCAATCGGAAGCTGACAAGATCTAGATGGGTATCAAGACTATTGGTCTCGACATCAACGACAATCAACTCGATGTCGCGAAGAAGGTTGGCGCGGACGCTGTCTTCAACTCCATGAAGAATAAAGACTATCTTGAGGAGATCAAGAAGCTCACTGGTGGTAAGGGATGTCATGCTGCGGCTGTCTACAGCGCTTCAAACGCAGCATACGCAGGCGCGCCAGATGTTTTGAGAACAGGTGGACTACTCATGGTGATCGGTATCGCGCCTAAGGGACTTGACTTCATAAACACATTTGATCTGACGACGGGACGGTATCGCATCAAGGCCGATAGCACAGGTATTCCGCAGCGAATGAAGAAGGCAGTCGAGTTTACCGGCAAGCATAGTATACAGCCAGAAGTCGAGTTCCGCAAGATCGATGACTTGCCGCAGATGGTTGCGGATATGGAGGCTGGCAAAGCGGAGAAGAGGCAGGTTGTTGTGTTTTAGACTTTCGCTCGATCAATAAATCTGAGGTGTTTATGACGCACTCTTGTTCCCGAATGACCATACTTTGGAGTTGGTGAGCTGTCGACTGTGATGGCATGTTGTGTTGCCGCAAGGTTGCATGCCAGGACGCAAACACTAGCAATTTTCCTGCAGTCATTCGTAGAATGTGGCAATAGGTAGATCTTGTCGAGCGTACCACTACTCGTACTAACTCTTCACTAACCCCGCATGTCGAACTTGGTCTCCGCGTTTACCTCAAGTCGGTTATGCATGGTTACTTCTAGTGGCTATATTTGTAAGACAACCAAGTACATTAAGTCGCATACACTGCCAACAGCGAGACGTTCAGCTCTGTAACATAGCTCCCAGTTGTGTGTCAATATGGTCCACAAAACCATGGATGTACGTCGTATGCCAGTTGCTTCCCAAATACATCACTAACACCTCAACAGCACGAGTTCTCATATCCACAGTTCTCGTGGGACGAACAAGAGAACTACCAGCGTCAGTCGACCATCTGAACTTTCAACCCTCGTCCCATCATATTCTGATCCCTCCCTTAGCCTGCATAAAGCTCTCCTTCTTCTTCCGTAAATCACCCACCGTAACCGACGCCTTTTTTCAAAAGCATTACAACCACATCCACTCCGATCTCACTGTCGCCTGCAAGAAGTTTCATGCCGTCAAGATAGCCCGCTACGTCCAGCTTTACCAATCACCAGGCCTGAAAGGTAGATTGAAGGAACTGGGCATGGACGTACTGGAATACGACGCATGCAGTCAGATCTGGGTGAGGAAGTGGGAAGATTGGGAGGCGTTTGCGGGGAGTGACGAGTACCGAGCTGCGCTCATGCCGGATGCGGAGAAGTTCATGAATTTAGAGAAGGGAATTCAGGTCATGGCCGGGTGAGACTCACTTCTTCTCGATTTGGTTGGTTAGTGTGAATGGGTTACTGATAATGACGACGGAGCTAGGTACGATATGATCTGCTTTGGAAAAGCGATTCCTGATTGCGATGCTACGGATGGGATTACGCGTGAAGGGGCTGCGTAGGTCTGGAAGCCTCACTGGCGTAGCTTTGGAGCTGGGACTGCTGGATCTTGGTAGTGGGAGGTGCGGAATAGTGCTAAAGCATATGACTCTTGCGGGCCCTTTCTGTACGGCTAGAAGATTACTTTCCAGCAACTTGTTGTATTAGAGCTCCATTGATGTTGCTGTTGTTCTGACGATAAATGTGCGTGTCGCGTAAACCGAGAACCCACTGGTAGTGATCTGGGTGTCAATGTCTCCGGCCTAGTTCAGCTCCTCTTCAGCTCAGTAATGATTGCATGTCTCTCCTTTACTAGCATAGGCTACACGATGCGCCATGCTCTGGCACGTGTACTGATCCTTGTCTTTGCTAGCGAAAGATAAAGTTATGGGTATGGGAGATAAACGCTCACCAACATGGCAAAGTTCGATCGGAAACGTTGTTCCAGGCGAAGGCGATCCTCGCCCCTTGATCGTTCGTCCCCATTTCTGGTCAAGCGCTACGACCCAGCGCTCATCTTCTCCGCACCCAACCCCGGATACCCACTTCCACATCCACTACCCCGGATTATGAGGATGTACATCGATCTACTGGTAACAATGGCGCGCTCCAGCCAATAGCAAAAGTTGGCTACAATGATTATCTGTGCTTCTGTGTATCCGAGATGCGGGGACGTCGAAGCCTGGATGTCGGGGCTGTAGTGGCTTAACGCGTTTGACTTGCACACATGCACAACCTAATGGAGAATATATGCAAGCCGTGAGTGGTCTCTTTGCGACGATCTTCCTACTTGATCATACATTGTCGTACCTGTCTCAAGCGTGTATCCTGACACCACATCATCATGGTGATAATAGCCACCCACGAAGGCAATGCTCGCCGTTCGTCAAAAGAGAAGACAGATGTCGAGCAAATCGAAGCTGTTACAACAACACCACCACAGACGCTCGTTTCTTCAAATGCCACCACTATAACGCCAAAGACATGGTTCGTCATCTTCGTCTTGTCTTCAACGTTTGGTCTCTCCTTCTGGCCGGTACCTACAACCTCTGCTATGATGTCTCGGCTCGCTGTCCAGTTCGGTGACCCCACGTCGAGCGCATGGTATATACCCGCGTACACGACAGCGAACGCCATCGGCTTCCTGATAGCGGGAGCAAACTCTGATCTTTTTGGGAGGAGGTGGTTCTTGTTGTTTGGCAATGCATGTTGTTGCGTTGGGTTTATCGTCACCGCGACGGCGAAGGGAGCAGATCATTTCACAGCGGGATTGGCGATAACTGGTTTTGGAGGCGGCTTTGCGCAGATGGCTATGTGCAGTATCCCCGGTGAGTGACCTGGGCTGCCATGTGTGTGCCAGTCGGTCTGACCTTTGCAGAACTCTTACCAAACAAGTTTCGACACATCGGTATCTGTCTTTCGGATGGTTTCGTCTTCCTCATCGTTATAATTGGCCCCATTGTTGGGAGGGTAAGTGACAAGCTTGAGGAGACATCGTACAATGACTGACCATCGATTTACAGTACGCTATCGATGTTGATGCGTGGCAATGGGTTTACTGGGCTGGCCTTATTGCCCAACTTATGTCCTTTACATCCTTGTTCTTGTTCTACAAGCCCCCGAAGCATCCCAAAGGAGTCCCATGGGACGAAGCAGTCCGAGGCCTTGATTATGTGGGCACTGCGCTCATCGTTCCAGGCATCTGCCTCACGCTTGTGGGCATCGTAAACACCACATACAAGCCAAGTTCAGACGTCACTGTCATAGCTCCTATGGTAGTTGGGCTGGTCCTGATCGCCGCTTTCGGAGTTTGGGAGACGCTGTCGAACACCAGGTTCAAGCTCTGTCCACCGCATCTGTTCCGGAGCCACAAGGGAAGAGAATTCACGGCGCCATTCATCGTAGCATTCATCGTAACGATGTTCTACTACTCTGTCAATATCATCTGGCCGACCATGGTGAATGTCTTTTACCTGGGCCCGAATGTGTCTCGGAGTACAGAGCTGCTACTCACACTACCACCAAATGTCGGCCTCGTATTTGGATCATTGTGTTTGATGGCTTTTGGCAACGTGCTAGGACACTGGAAGTGGACTCTGATCGCTACTTGGACTGGGATGGTGCTCTTTGGCGCCTTGATGGGTCTTGTCACTCCATTCAATCAAAGCTTGATGATCGCATTCTGCTGCATCAATGCTTCGTTCTTCGGATGGGCGCAGTATGAGTCCATCGCGTTTACACAACTTGGTGTGCCGCAGCAGGACCTTGGCTTCTCCGGTGGCCTGGCGGGCATGGCTCGTTATGCAGGAGGATCGCTTGCTCAAGCCATTTACACCACGATTCTCACTAACACGCAAACCACGCGTGCTGCTGCTACAGTTCCCGCTGCAGCTATAAGGGCAGGCATGTCGTTGGAGAATGCGCAAGCTTTACTTGCAGCTCTTCCTCTCGGTGCTGCCGCTATCGCGGAAGTGCCAGGTACGACCGCCGAGGCTCTGGGCGCTGCTTCTTTGGCATTTCAATGGAGCTACGCGCACGCACTGAAGGTTGTGGCACTCAGCAGTCTGAGTTTCGGCATTGTGGGCTTGCTTTGCATCTTCTATTGCGAAGATCTGACGCCTAAGATGACGGACAAGGTGGAGGTCTTCCTTGAGAATGACGTGTACGCGGACAAGAACGAATTCCACTGAAAATCGAATCGGCTATAGCTTAATTAATGGAATGGCTTCACTAAAATTTTACATTCGAGCTTCACAATGGTGTGGGTATCGGAATCAGAGATGGATGCTGGAGGCTTCGCCAGACGCTTCGGGCGTAAGGCTTGACCTCATCGCGTGGCCGACGTCATGGTCCTCGCGCAATCGTCTCACCACCATCCTTTGCTTTTCCTCCCCTCTCCTCAACCTCCAACGCCCGGATAGTAACGCGCCGAGTAGATAATGCAAATACCCGATATTCTTCCTATTTCGCGCTTCTCCAGCCATGAGTAACTGACGCGTCCGAAAGAGGTTAGGTTGTCTCCAAGCCGCGGCTAATTTTTCGGGCGCTTTCTGCGGCAACACTACGACAGATTGCTAGCTGACGGCCCGTCAAAAAATCGGTCCCCTCAGGGTGTACTTCGCAATGCGACGCGGGGCTCTAGAAAGAACGCGTATGATCTTTACAGCCGGGAGTGGTCGCCGAAAAATCGATATGCAGCACCAACGCTACGTCTAAACACCAGTAGCTGAACCTTCAGCACACAGCGAGTAGACCGGACAATGTCCCGTAAAAGGGATACGACTGTCTAGACTCCATGGCTCCACTATCGCAACGGTAACCCCACCTTCCATACTGGTACGCTATGCAAGGAGACAAGATGTAGCCTCTGTGGCTGAACGACGACGCATGGAAATCTTGTCTCTTTGTTCCTCCCTCAAGCCCCAATCGCTTTCTCCCTACAACAATGTCAAAGTCGGCTATTGTGTTTGGCGCTTCTGGCGTGACAGGTCAGTAAAACCATGGGATATCGTGATAGGGCCATACGCTGATATTGGTTCAATAGGCTGGTCTTTCGTCAATGAGATCCTTTCCGATTACCCAAAGAAGGACACCTGGAAGCGCGTCCATGCGCTGACAAACCGCCCGCTTTCCCCGTTGCAAACACAATGGCCAGAGGACTCGCGCCTCAACCTGGTATCCGGCCTTGACCTACTCTCCCATAGCCAAGAAAGTCTTGAGAAGGAGCTGGCAGAGAAGCTACCACAAATTGAGGAGGTGACACACGTCTACTACCTTGCATACAAAGCGGGCCTAGATGTACAAAAGGAAATGGAAGAGGCCGTGGAGATGTTTTCCAAGGCAGTGAAAGCCATGGATAAACTATGTCCGGCTCTGGAATATGTCGTGCTGCAAATTGGCACAAAAGTTTGTAAGGCCTCACCAGCCCTTTCAAGATACCGGACATTGTGGAACTAACATACATCAGATGGCGTCCACCTCCTCGCTGCGCTCCCTTGGTACGACGAGACCGCTCCCCCAGGCACGACCGGACCTAAACTTCCTCTACCTCCACTCAAAGAAACCTTTCCCCGTATACCCAGCCCGTACGCCGAGATGCTCTTTTACCACGCACAAAACGATTGGATCGCCGAATACGCCAAGGACAAGAAGTGGAGCTGGATTGAGACTCGTCCAGATATCATAGTCGGCTATGTTCCGAACCAGAACGCATACTCGCTCGGTACGACAGTTGGTCTTTATCTAGCGCTGTGGAAGGAATTTTATGGTGAAGGAGCGGAATGCCCGTTTCCCGGCACAGAAGGAGTCTGGAAGGCGCTGAGTAATGATAGCAGCAGTGATATGATCGCTCGTCAGACTATCCACCTGACCCTCTCCGCCAAGCCGAATAAAGGAGAAGCATTTAACATCGCCGACTCAAAAACACCCTCGAACTGGGAGGAGAAGTGGCCTGTACTATGCTCCTACTTCGGCCTCAAGGCCACTGGTCCTGCGCCCACTCCCATCGACATACGCAAGTTTATCGAAGACAACATGGAGACCTGGCTGGCCATGGAGAGGAAGTATGGCTTGCAAAGTGGACATGTAGATGGTGGTCGTGGCATGCAGATTGCCGAACAAATGCTCATGACTAAGTTTGACTTTGACAGACACTTTGATATGAGCAAGACGTACGGAACGGGGTTTACGGAGGAGAGGGGGACGAAGGAGTCGTGGGGAGTTGTGTTTGATAGGATGAGGAAGGCGAAGATCATACCATAGATTGAATAACGACTACCAGCCTAGCTAGACTAGGGAGCGGAAGAATGCAAAAACATGAAAGAGCATTGCGGCCCAGAGGCATGCATGAGGTCAGACAGTTTCAAAAGAGCAACCACAGACGGACACGCATTCATGGAGGTTAAGAAAATGCGTATTGCCGCAATATACATGGTCCGCTACGATTCTCAATAGGCCTTCACAGCAGCCAACTGTAAGATCCTGTCCGTGATGACGGGCTTCTCCAACGGCTCCGTCCTGTTCTGCGGATCCGGCTTACCATCCCTTTCTGGCGGGCCCTGCTTGCGGATATTGCAGTGCGGCCAATGTGTCGTACCCTGCCACGTCTTGAACAGCTCAGCCTTGAGCTCGCGATCCTCCTTCTTCGCAAACTTGGCCGGCGTCATGCAGACATACTGGACGTGACGGATTCGTTCACCTTGTGGGAAGCAGGCGTAGTGCATAGTGCGAGAGTCCCTGTGCGACGTTAACTCAAGTGATCATGAAAGAAAGAGACAATGTTAGGGAAACTTACCAGAGCACCAAGTCACCAGGATCAAGGTTCACCTTCTCCAGTGTGCACCCACGGTCCTTGAACCACTTCACATCCTCCTCCTTGAAGATGAAGAGATCCTTGAAGTCCTCCTCCTCTGGAGGCTTATCCTCGTGGGCGTCCTGTTCCCTTTGTTCGCGGAAGAAATCGTCAAACAGCTTGCTGCTGCCCTTCATCAGAATCAGACCTCCGTCTTCCGAGCCGTTTGGTTGGTAGTTCAGTAGACCCTGTACACACTGCATGCCCTTGCGGTGCGGCGACTGATCGCAGTGTGGCCACGGGCTCCACTTGAGGTCTTTCTGACGCGGCAGTGTGATGTTCATGCCGTCGAATGAACAGAGGAGCTCCTCGGTGCCCCAGAGCTTAGCAAAGGTCTCGATGACTTTGGGCTCGGTGCGAGCTTCCCTGGACTTGCATTAGCATGATGACAACATCTTCCCAGACATGTGACTTACCAAACGAACTTCTCGTGCGTGCTAGAGTAGGCAAAGTACATGCCACCCTTGAAGCTCACAGGAAGGTGTTCTTGTGTCCATGTTGACTCGTCGTTAGGATCGAAACCACGATCAAACGACTGAAGCCACTCGATCTGCTTTTGCTTGTAGTATTCTGCACGCTCGGGTGTGATAGCGCCTTTGATGATGGCTGTGCCGTTCTTGTGGAATTCGTCGCGCCAATCGCCATATACTGTGCCATCGTGCGAGATGAGATCAACGCCGCTATCTGGCTTTGGCTCTTCGGCGTGAGGTGCCATCTTATTGGGAGGAAAACTGCGATGTATGCTATAGGTGGTATTTATGATAGTGTTCAGGTCTTCAACTTGCAAGTGTGAATTGGAATGAAGGTGTGGTAGAAACACTTTGGGTTGCACTCGACTGGTGTTATATGCCAGAGCGTGAAGCAAAGTTCGTATGATGTTGCACCCGTAATGGTAGTCGTTGTTTGGATATGCCGGTGCAGCGTTGCCGACCAGCATCGGTAACTGTGGGCGCCATACCCCGCGTTGTTCACAATCCAGGATTTGTGGGACTCGGAACATGTGGGGGACGGGGACAGTTGACGTTTCGGATACTTGCCGAGGTGGACGCCGCTACATTGCAAAGTGCGCTCGACGCGTCGCGTTGAGGGGTGCATTTGTTTGTTGTTCAAGTAGCTGTCACGATCTTTCTCCGTAGATACTCAGTTTCCTCTCTCTTCCTCCCTGATACCTCTCATTACCCTCAGCTTCCAAGATGCCAGTTCCCATGCAAGTAGCCTACAAGCCCATCTCTAAGCCAGAGGTGGGTGTGAACAATTACCAAGGCTTCACACCTGGCAAGACCGAAGTCCTCCGCAAAGGCGAAAAGCCACACAATGCTCGTGCTCTTGAGTCTGACATTCAGATCGATCACGATGTTGAGATAGTGGTTAGAGACGGCTGTCGTCTTTACGTCGACATCTACAGGCCTGCCAATGTTCCAAAAGACGAAAAACTACCGGCGGTAGTAAGCTGGTCGTGTTACGGAAAGAAATACTCCGCTCTTCACATGCTGCCAATCTGCATTTGGAATTGCTGTGTGCCAAATGAAGCACTCAGCGGACTGGAGAAGTTCGAGGGACTTGACCCAGTTGTGTGGTGTCCGCGTGGCTATGCGATCATATCGGTCGACTCTCGCGGTACGAGCAACAGCGATGGATCCATACCAGTACGTTTGTTCTTTTGTTTTCCCGTATCTAGACTTGGCTAACCATGGCAGATCATGGGTTCTCAAGACGCAGAAGATTGCTACGACGTGATTGAATCCATCGCGGCGATGCCATGGAGCAATGGAAAAGTAGGCATGGCGGGCAACAGTGCTTTGGCTATCATCCAGTGGCATGTTGCATCTCTGCGCCCACCCCATCTCGCCGCTATCGCACCTTGGGAGGGATCCGGCGACATTTACCGCGAACAATTCTGCCGAGGTGGCGTTTTCACAATGTCGAACTTCGACCTCATTACCCACTTCATCATCAAGACGAACAACCCTGGCGGCGGCATCGAGGACTTCGCTGAGATGTACCGACGGTCACCTGTCTCGAACGCGTATTGGAGCGATAAGCGGCCTGATATGACGAAGATCGAAGTACCCGTATTCATTAGCGGAAGTGACTTCTCTAGTATACATACCATGGGAGCCGTACGAGGATGGCTTGAGGTGCCTCATGACAAGAAGTGGATCCGATGGAGCTCACACCAGGAATGGTTCGAATTATACTGCGACCCTCATGCGGACAAGGAATTGCATAAATACTTCGACAAGTATCTCCGGGGTGTTGACAACGACTGGGAGAAGATGGCGAGAGTGCGATGGTCGGCGCTCCAGTTTGGTGACCGAGAAGCCATTGATGGCATCGAATTCTCAGACTTCCCTATACCGGATACGCAATACAAGGAGTTCTACCTATCCGGCGCTGGTCTGGCCGAGCAAACTCCTTCCAAGACAGAGATCGTCAGCTACAACTCGGAAAACCCGAAATCGATCGCTGAATTCACGTATAAGTTCAGACAAAAGTCGCGGTTGATTGGTCTGCCGAAGGCTGTTCTGTACATGTCAGCACCTTCTCATAACGACATGAATGTGTTCGTCATCCTTCGCAAGCGAGACAAGGACGGAAAGCTGCTTATGCATCTCTGCTTCCCTTTCTCAGCGATACCTTCAACCTACAAGAGCATCGAGGATATCCCCGAGAAGGAGCGAGCAAGCTTGAACTTGCACCTGGGTAGTGTAGGGGTGTTGCGTGCCAGCCATCGTGCATTCGACCCAGCGCGAAGCATCCATGAACAGTTTCCATTCCACCCGCACGATAAAGAGGAAAAGATGACTCCCGGAGAGGTCGTGAAGCTGGAGATAGGCATTTGGTCGATGGGTGTGGATTTTGGCGAAGGCGAGTCTTTGAGCGTTCAAGTTTCTGGAACTTTTCCCAGTATCGCGGAGTACACGGCTTTCTCGCAACCCCGACCAGATCATGAGAAGAACAAAGGAGAACATAGAATACATGTCGGATCAGAGACGCCAAGCAGGGTTATACTGCCTTTTGCCCCTTTGTAGCTATATATAGCTTTAATGAGGTCAGCATACAACGGGCTATTCCAATCTACGTCGCATCTGTGAGTGTATGCCATGTCGTGATCTAAGGATGTAAAACCTGCCTTCAGGAACGAAAACATAGATGACAGTGTGGTGTTGGTGATCCGGCTTGGGCATTGACGTAGCAGTCGAGCTACCAAGCATGGCTGTCAGGATAGAGTATTCACTTGCGACATCGCAAAGGCTGTGAAAACGGGTGCACGTCCTTGTCAACAAAGTCGGTAACTGCGGTTGCAGAAGCTGAAGTCAGCCAAGGGTGGTTGGGAATTGCATCGTACTGATTGGTTGGAGATGGCCCTCCTTCCGCGAGCTAGCCCACTCTCCGACACACGCGCTACCCCGGATTTCCCCACAGGTCATCTAAGCAACCCCAGATGAGCCTTTGCACAGGAGCTGTGCCGCGTAACGCTCGTGAAGTGGAGTTCAGCTGAGCGGGGATGTGAAGCCGGTATTGATTTCCAGACCAAGGCTTGGAAACGCCGACGATTTCATCGGCCGTGGTGCGAGTCTGAAGGCGAGCTAAACGACAAGAAGGAGTGCCACGCACCAAGCAGGGAAACCTCCAAGAAGAGGAGCCGAAGTTCATATCAACATATAACCAGCTGTGTGCGCATATCATCCGTCTGCATCTCGACGCTGTTGTCCCTTTGTGCTCTTCAGGTTTGGACGAGCGGGTTTACATCTTCATCAACAACCTTCTTTTTCTCACCTTGTTACATCGCAAGTACTTCGTTTGCCTTCGCAAAGATGCTCGACGACATCAAAGACCCCAAGGCCATGGAGACCAAAGTCGAAAGGTATGAAGTCGTTTCAGATGGCGAGACAGGCTTTGCGAAGCCCATCGTGGAGCCGGCGGCGATGGGAACGGTGACCATGACCAATCTCGACGAGATTTTCTTGATTCCAGCCCCCAGCGCTGATCCTCGAGGTTTGTCCTCCGCGACACTTAATCTTGCGGGTGGCATTCGTACTAACCTCTCTTATCAGATCCATTAAATCTGTCCAAGTTTCGCAAAATTCTCTTCATCGTGCTGGTGTCCATCTTCTCCAGTCTGGGTCTTGCACTGGTTTCGGGTTTCGGTGGTCTTCTAACCTGGTATATTCCTATCTATGCCGCGGCTGGGGCTACTTATGGTCAGTGATCCCCAGATTTCGTGTCTGAACTGTATTGACCAGATTTGTAGCGGACATAACGGCGCTTATGACGTACCCGTCAATGTTCATGGGCGTGGGAAACCTCGTTTGTATGCCGCTGGCTCTGGCGATCGGAAGACGCCCTGTCTACCTTTTTTCGCTACTTCTCCTCATCGCAGCCTCTGTCTGGGCTGCAAATGCCAAAAGCTACAACGAACACCTTGGGGCCAGGATGCTACTCGGGTTCGCTGCCGGTCAGAGCGAGGCATTGGTTCCGATGATGATTCAGGTAAGGACATCTGATTTAGAACACCAGGACAGGTGCCTAACGAAGATGCAGGAAATCCACTTTGTTCACGAGCGCAGTACCTTCTTGATGTGGCAGTCCGCTGTACAAACAGTATTATCGGCTGTGTATATCATCTGCGCGTCGCCAATTGCTGGAGCTGTTGGTCCATCTAACTGGTATTACCTTGGTTCCGGACTTTGCGGAGCCACGTTCGTCGCCTCGATTTTCTGGGTTCCCGAGAGCAAGTACGATCGACCTATGACTGCTTACGGTCAGTTTTCCGCAGAAGAAGGAGGCGAGCTAGAGGGATCTAGAGCGACTGCACCACTGCCAGCTAAACTATCCGAAAGGCCCCCGCTGGACTTCACAAAATTCCTTCCTCGTACCACGTGGTCGGACATGCGCCTCTTCGTCAATGAGCCGGAATGGACGGAAGGTGTTTATGGCTTCGTCAACACTTTCCAAGTCATGTTGTTCCCTAACGTGCTCTGGGCCTTCTGCTTGAATGGTCTTACTATTGGTGTCAACATCGCCATTGGAACGACTTACGGCACCATCGTACATGCGCCACCATATAACTGGTCTGACAATGCTGTCTCATATGTCAATGCTGGTCAGATCGTGGTCGCCTTCGTGGCATTGCCACTGCTCGGTAATGGCAGCGATGCCATAATCAAGTGGCGAGCAAGGCGCAATGGTGGTGTACACGAGCCCGAGAATCGTCTACTACTGCTTTGGATCCCTTTGCTATGTGGGTGCCTTGCTGCCACTTTGTATGGTGTGGCAGCGGAACATCCAGGAGACTACCACTGGTTCGTCTACGTCTTCGCCAACGCAGCGTACTACTTCGCATTCGTGGGCGCAAATATCGCCGCGATCACGTACCTCCTTGACTCTTACCCGGCACGTGCAGGGCCTATTCTTGTTGTTATCACAGCTCTACGAGGTTTTGTCTCTTTCGGTACCAGTTATGGTGTCGCCAAGTTCATCGAGACGGATGGGTACGACGGAGCCTTTGGAACATACGCTGGATTGACTGCGATTTTCGGCCTGCTGGGTATCCCAGTCTTCCTGTATGGTAAGAAGATTAGGGCATATACCGGCAAGTGGGCGATGAAGAAGGCATCAGGCCATCCTTCGATGTCGCGCTAAGAAGACAATCTACTCCGTATTCGCGGCATTATGGTCGAATATTCGCGTGGACGTCAGTCAGAGGTGTTCGTGGTAGATTTGCGTTGCGGTGACGTTGTGGTACTGATGCTTTCGCATGGCTGGAGAAGTGTTGTCGTAGTCTAGTCTTTGCAGGTCCTGAATGTAAACATCGCTTGTAGTCAGATCGTTGTAATCTCAGCCGTGTGAAGATTTTTGCTGCGATCAACTCGACATGACGCTTCTTATCCAAACAAGTTGATTATACAGTTATGCTTGCGAAGTGGAATTAGCATTGACAGGTTATGATCCCTTGCGGTGGTCCTCCGTTGGTAGCCTGTCGGACCCGCTTTTATGATGCCTTTTGATGGAGAATGTGGCCATGTACATATGGCAATGTCGGTGTCCGCTATCGTTGCTGACGGATCCTAACAAGCGTAACGCTCAGACGCGTCGGCGGGTCAGTCTATGAGCATCAAAGTGAAGTTCTTTGGATGCCAGCACACTAAAGGAGGTGGTGAGCATCTGATTTGGGGTAGTTCAGTGCGCCCATCTGGTGGTGGGCCGGCCTTCACATCCGTGGTTGCGTTGACGCATGAATGTCAAGGAGGATAGTTTATTGATGTCATTGTTTTTCATTTTCGTGAACAAGAGAAATGTCCCAATCTAGACTAGCGTGACGTGCCAATGACGCGCGAGCCTGCTCTTTCACCACTTACTCACCTCGGAGGAGCTTCGACATCATCTACCCACCGATCTCGCCATGCTTAGGCATCGGCCTTGATGTACGGAATACCTGTCAGCTTGAATGTCCTCTCATCCATGACCGGCTTGTTGACCGGCTCAAAGCGGTTGTGTGGGTCATCTACTCCCTCTCTTTTCGCGACATTCGAGCCTGTGTGCCTAGCGTTGGGCCAGTGGGTTGTTCCCACCCAGCGCTCATATGCGTCCTTCTTCCTTCGCAAATCCTCTTGGGTCGCATCTTCGACAGGCATGTAGCAAGTGTAAACTGCAAATCTGGGCTGGTTCGTCTTCGAGCTCAGGTTGTAGTGGGGGGTACGAGAGTCCCATACGAGCAGATCGCCGGGGTCTGCGCACACCTTCAACCACTTCAGACCCTTGTTCTCGAGCCACTTCATACCGTTCTCGGTGAAGCCATACCATTCTGGTGTCCACGCTGGGATACGTTCCTCATCGGCCATGTCCCTGTGGAATTCGTCGGAAAGCAGATGTCCGCCAGGACACACGATCAGACCGCCATCATCCGGCCCATTGGGAAGTAGGTTCACCAAGCCTTGCAAGCATCTGAAACCGGGCTTCGCGGGGTCCTGGTCTTGATGAGGCCATGGCTTGTTTGGTGCAATATCAGAGCGACTGGAATAACTGTCAGCTTGTTCGAGAGATGCATGCACCTTACGTACGGCAAGGTAAAGTTGATCGCATCGAACGACACAATCAAATCCTTGTTATCGTAGACCTTTTCGAAGGCTCCGACAACGCCAGGCTCTCCTCGAATGGACCAAGCAAAGTCTTCGTGCGTGACAGCATACTGCAGGCACATGCCTTTCTCGGTGATCAAAGGTAGCTTGTCTTTGTGAACTGTTGACATGTCATTACGGTCAAAGCCGAGGTTGCTGGGCAATGTAAGTGGTTTGCGACACTAAGTTGGTTTCTATGCTTACAATCCTTCCAACCAGCTGTACATCTGGTCTGCATACTTGTCCGCCCTCTCTCTCGGAATCGCACACTTGATGACTGCATAGCCGTCTCTGGCTAAATCATCCCTCCAGTCGCCGAATGTCGCATCAGAGCCGTCCACTCTCATGCGCTGATCTTCGACAGCCTTCAGCGTTACGGGCGCCGTCTTCGTCGTGGTCGAGATCATATTGTTGGATATGTCGGTTTCGAGGCTGCTTGACAGATTGGATAAGATCTGATTTGTGAAGAGTGGAGGTTGCTTCAGAGGTCATATTCAACATTTTCTCGAACAAGGTTTAACCAGCGTGCGCCGTACAGCCTTCGACGTCGCCCACACGGGCCGAGCCTGTTCAAGCCCACATCTCCGAACCCTGGCGACGACGACAACAATAACGGTGTGATATCCGACATGTGTGAAACCGAATTCAGAATGCGGGGATAATAATAGAGCAGTTCGTAAAGTGGAGGATACGCACCAAGTCTAGCAGGTTCGCGCGCTTGCGCAGCTAGTAGTTGTCGATTATTAGTTACCCACCTGCTCAGTATTCGCCATCAGCATGTCTTACTCGTCTTCAATCTGATATCACGACCTTTCATCACTCTCTATCATCACTCTCTATCATCACTCTCTATCATCACACTTCCGACATAGGAGACGCTCGAGATGTCATTACCAATACCATTCCGAATCATTATCGTGGGTGGTGGGATCGCAGGATTGGCAGCTGCCATAGCCTTACGGAAATACGATCGCCAGATCACGATCCTGGAACAATCTCGACTCAGCACAGAGATTGGCGCTACAATCTCGCTCCAACCAAACGCCACGAGGATCTTACAGCAGTCATGGGGGCTAGAAGCCTTACTCGAGGACTCTAATGGTACAATCGACCACGGGTTCAGGATCTATAGCGTCGATGGCAAGATGGTGAACGAGATACTGCTACGAAGCAAGACACAGTATGGAGCAGACCGCATTTTGTGGCACCGTGAGGATCTTCATGCCTATCTCAGGGAGAAGGCCACAAGTACCGAACGGGATGGCCAGCCGGCGGTTTTACGTACCTCGGTGCGAGTGTCCAGCTGTGACTGCGAAGAAGGCAAAGTGATACTTGAGAATGGTGAAACTCTGGAAGCAGATCTTGTCATCGGCGCGGATGGCATTCATAGTGCCCTGCGTACTTCTGTTCTCGGTAAAGAGATTCATCCCAAACCCACGGGGTCCTCAGCCTACCGCCTTATGCTACCAACTGCAGTCCTCAACGAACGTGCGCCGCAATTCTCTGCGAACATCAAACCAGAACAGCCCTACACATCCATGATCATGGCACACTCCTGCCGGCTTATCATGGGTCCCGCTCGCGACGCAAAGCTCTACAGCATTGTCGGCCTAGCACCGGACGAGCAAATGAATGAAGATCCTGATAAAGCGCAGTCATGGGTGACGAAAGGAGATTCAGCAAAGATGTTGGAAACATTCAAGGACTTTCCCAGCTGGACCAGGGACATGCTTCGTAATGCTGACAGTATAGGCCTTTGGCAGCTGCGCGACTTGGATCCGCTAGATACATGGCATTCTGGGCGTACGATTCTCATCGGTGATGCAGCGCATGCTATGCTGCCCACCCAAGGTCAAGGCGCAAGCCAGACTATTGAGGACGCTGAAGCTTTAGGGGCGCTCTTCGATAGAATCGCTGAAAGGCCTACCAAAGACGAAGTATCTTCCATCCTCGAAAACGTGTTCAAGAGTCGATATGAACGTGCGAGCTTGATACAGCGATTCAGTCGCGAGGCTGCAAAGCCTGCGACGGAAAAGGGTAGCAATGTCATCAAAATGTGAGTATCAACCGGCGCATAGTATTTGCATGATCTAACATACACAGGCGCCCTGATGAATTCATGGAGTACAACTGCACATATCGGGGGGTACACGATTGGGAACAAAAGCGTTCGATTTCAGCAATAACAGTCGGTCTCCAGAGAGCTGCAGTAGCTTAGACTTGGTCAGACACTCCCGTCAGCATGAGTGTTTAAGATACCCAATCCATGCCTTCTCAAACGATGTATTTATTGCGATCACAGTCGTATGCCAAAAGCTTTAATAGCTGAGGTTTGAGTCGTGAATCATGGTTACTGCTGGGGGAATTGGAGGCTTGGCGATTAATGTGCCGACGGTTCGACTGCCGTAACTCCCCAGATGCACCCCGCATCTGAGCAAGGGTAGGTGTGCCCACTTTCCGAAACCCGAGAACGCGGTGCGCTTTGAACTACCTGCTCCTCTCCCACATTTCCGTTCTTCAGCCTTTAGATCATAATGTCTGTCGATATGGCGGTGACACCAACGAATGCGCGACCCTCCAAGCGTCAGCGGACTTCCGATGCCTCAATTGGTGCGCTTCAGTGTCAAGTCTGCCACCGGACATATGAACGTGCCGACCACTTGAACCGACACCTGGACTCACGTGAGTACTGTTCCCTGTTAACCGTTACTCAGCACTCTTCTAATCCTGCGCAGATCGCAATGAAAGATCTTTCCAGTGCGAGGAGTGTCCTGCGGCGTTCAACCGGAGAGACTTATTGCTGAGGCATCAAGCAACGCATACGAAGAATGCTAAAGATGGACTTGTTGGCCCAAACCGTGTAGCAGAACGTGCTACAAAAGCCTGCAACTCGTGCGTACTATCAAAAGTCAAATGCGACAACGGCAGGCCCTGCAAGCGGTGCCAAAAGAAGGGCCTATCATGCGTGACAAAGTTTTCCGATACATCATCATTCACTCAGTCAACTACGAGTGAACAACCACCGCAAGTTTTCGCAACACCTGCGGATGATCAAAGCAACCCAAACGGATTTGACGATGACATACAGTTGAATGGCGTGTACCTCAATGAGGCAAGTACTGAAGCACAAGCTCTACTCGATCTCTACAACACCACTAGCTATACCCAGCATACCATCCCTGCTTTCTTCGAGCAGATCATGGTTCCAGCACCGGACTTCATGGGCATCGACTACATGCAAGCGCCTCCAGATCTGACGGCTTGGATGCCTGAGACCGACTGGCTTGGTCAAGTCGACATCTTTGGCAACGACTTCACTCCGACTGTCAGTCAAATGCTAGAAGCGCCGGTGTCGCCGGTGACTTCTCTGCCTCCAGCAACGCCGCCGGCTGATACAGATGTTTCTCTTGAGAAGATCGATAGTGATTCCGCAAGAAGACGCCATGCAGTCTTCAAACAGTCTGCCTGGTAAACTACACTGACCGATAATCCGATCGGTGCTGACTCGCGTTAGGTTCTGGATTCCCGAGCGTAACCAGCACGCTTTCAGCGAGCACGAAAATATCGCTTTGGATGAGCGCAACATGGATCTTGCTTCGTCACCACATATGCCGTATGCATCCAACGTTGTGATTCCAGATCAGTTATCATCAGCAGCCCGTGATCGCATCTTCCAATTAGTCTCGAAGACTGCACAAAGCCAGATCACGATTCCATCTTTTCCTTCGCCAGAGTGCGTCGACAAGCTGATCAAGGTCGGGATTGCGAAAAGAACAGAGACCGATGCATGGATCCATCCATATACCTTCGAGAGCGAAACCGCCCGTCCGGAATATCTCACTGCTTTGGTGGCGGCTGGGTGTGTATGTTTCGGCGTACTATCGGTCAGCAGAACAGGCCTGGCGTTACAAGAGATTGTTAGGGTCGCGTTGAACAGGTTGGTGAGTAAAACAAAGAACCAGATCTGATGTTATAACCGGCAGAATCTGATATGCGCTCAGTCTGAGAACGACAACAGCGTGATCCGCGATTTGGAGTATCTCCAAGCTTCGATGCTATGGCTTGACATCGGAGCATTCTGTGGGTATAGAAGGAAGATGGAAATTGCTGAGAGCAGTTTGCAGTCTCTTGTCACGGTGAGACGCTCCAAAGGTATCGTGTAACAAGGACTGACTATGTAGGCACTGCGGCGTGCTGGCAGATTTGATCACATCCGCTATCCCGCAATTAAACCATCTGCCAAGGATAGCGACGAGGAACTACAGACGAAATGGAAGCGATGGGTGGAGCAAGAATCATACAAGAGGTACCGCAAACGTATCACACCCTGTCTGCTCGGTATTTAATTCAGACAGGTTGGTGTATCACCTATTCGAGCACGATATTCACATGACCATGGCTAAGCACCGCCCGCCGCTGATCACTTATGCTGAACTTACGCTTATATTGCCTGCGTCGAAAACGCTTTGGTTAGCACCTTCAGCAGAGATATGGCGAATACGCTACCTCGAGATGGATATCGTCGCTAGCCGTCCCTCACTTCAAACGCTTCTTAAAGACGAAGCCGCCATACTCTGCCTTCCTGCGGATATTGATGCGCAAGTTGCTCGTTCTTCCTACCTTCATGGCATTGCTGCTCAGACCTGGGAGTATGCACAGCAGTCTACGCTGATGCACGAGAGCAGTGATCCCTCTTCACAGCTCTGGGCTCGATCACGTCAGGAGAAACTGTGAGTACAAGTCCTCGCATAGCTAATAATGCTGATGCTACCCGGTAGATACCATTACTTGCAACGTGAAGACGTCCTGCCTAGCAACTCTCCGGCTGTTACCTGTCTATTCCATCAATTCTTGCAGATGTATCTGCATGTCAATCTCGATCTGATCACGCGGTTTGCAGGCAAATGTGGCGAAAGCGCTGCCAATAGCGCGTACACTCACCTCTCACCCTGGAGCCAAACTAAGGAAGCTAGGATCGCGATTTGTCATGCTGGACAGGTAGTACGAGCCGCTCGACATATTCCGCCATACCAGATCCGTGGTCCTGATTCTTTCATGCTGTATCATGCCATCATGGTTCTTTGGACTTACAGCATGATGGTGCGAGACCGAGCGAAGAAGACTGGTACCACAACGCCGATGCGTGCTCAATCAAGTTCGATTCTGGGCAAGGTCATCTACCTCGACGATGCTGCATCGGAAAAGCAGACTTCTATCAATTCCTTTGTTCTTATGAACAGTGGCATACCGTGCCTTCGTATCATCTCTACACACCAACCAGTAGCATCGGAGTCTGGAATGGCTGATCGGCCCGAAATCTGTAACCTCAAGTACCCTTCACAGGTCATGAAGGTCGGCGTCAGGCTTCTTGACACAACACACCCTGATGTGGACCGCGAAACTGGGCCGCCTCTTGTGCGCGCGTTGTGCGGACTTATGGAGGAGCTTGGAGGCCTTCGATGAGAGAACTTGGCACTTATGATGGAAGTCTTACTACTGAGTGAACATTGGCGACATACACGGCTAATCCGTGATATCCGGCACCTCCTGACCCTTCATATATGGTACACATGCCTCATAGATCTTCCTATACCCAGGATACTTCGCGATTCTCGCGAAAACACTTTCATCAACCATCCTCGCCGCATGCAATGACCCAGCAAGGAAGAAGTCTGTCGCACTCGGCCTCGCTCCCAGTACAAACTGCCCTTCTTTCTCGTTTGTTAGGAGCAACTGCTCAACGGCGCGTATATCGTCTTCAACCTCGCGCCACGCCGACTCTTCCTTCTCGCTATACAGCAGCTCCTCAAGCTTGCATCCGAAAGCAGCTTCACGCGTTCGTCGGAAGTACTCCTGCGATCGAGGTGACAGGATTTTCACCTCATGTGGCATGACTGAGTCGCGGAATATAGGACCTATCACCGTACGTGATTTGGATTCGATCTCGCGGCCAAGCTCGGAGGTCAAGGAAATTGGTCGATCTGGATAGGTTGCTTCCAGAAATTGGGCAATAAGGGTCGAATCCATGGTGTACGTGTTCGTCGGGATGTGGTAGATGGCTGGGACTGTGTACTTGGAACCCGTAGAGGACTCGGCGAGGTGGATGCCGCTAAGGTAATGTTGTTAGAGGACCTCTTAGAGCGTACCCTTGGAACCAAGCAGACGGGGCGACGGGAAGCAGACTCACAGTCCTTTAAGTGTCGGTTCGATATCTGGAAACTCAATAAAGATCGTCTTGTATGGAATGCGCTTGTAGTTGAGCATGAGACGAACGCGCCATACCGCGGGCGAGAAACAGACACCTTTGGTGCATGCTAGGTCGTATAGAGCGATTTCTGGCTCTACCTGCGCAGCCATTTTGAGCGCTAGTCTGGATCGATTCGCTAATGTAGATGACTGATGCGTGCTGTTTACTTGTATGCAAAAAGAGACCTTCAGTCGGTGCAGAATATGGAGATGAGTGGCGGCCTGATGTTGCAGGTTGACTGCGGGTGGCCCCAGCCTTGGTGGGGTGAGAAGACCAGGTAAGCACGTACGCTGACAGCGGTTGCCTGATCAGCAGTCATGACGAGAGTACATCTTCGCCGTCATGATTCAGTTGCTTGCAGAGAAAACATCACGGTTTACGAAGGATGCACGAGGTGAAGAAGAGCAGGAGGAAGTAGATTTTCGAGAAACAAACGACAGCGAATACCGCCTTAGCCGAGGACTAGATCAACGTCTTCACGTTCAAGCTGTTGCCAGTCCTGTTTTCCAACATAGCCAGCAGCCCTTCGATAGGCGATATTGTTTTCCCATTCTATCCAAAGGACGTTGACTACCTCGTTGACGCGGAACGGCTTTTCGGCGCGTAGAGCTTCTTGATTCCAAGTTTTGCTGTTAACGCGAGTCATACTCACAGCGACGATTTCTATCTTGGGCAGACTTTTATCCGTTGTGTCTACAACGAAGTCCATATTCCGCTTTTCTTTCATGATCGTGTTCACATCGATCAGATCATGAAGGGCGTCGTGGCCCGATGAAGGTTTGATCTTTGCAAAAGGAAACAGTTTCAGCTGCTCTCTAGAATGCAGATGAAGTGTACCAACTGAGTTTCCACTCGAACAATCACAGAGAGCGATAATTTTAATCCTGCCATCATCTATGTCGTCCCTGGCGCAACCAATCCTTTGTCCAAGAACAAAACTGCGCTGTGTTCGACTGAACAAGTACGGTGTTTGTTCAGGCACCGAAGCCTCTGTTGCGCTTGAGATTTCTGGGACCGGAAACGGAAAGTACCAGTCGTCTTTGTTGTGCATCTTACTTTGATGGCGATACACAAGGCCTCCACATCTGGCTGGGAAGATGCGTGGCTCTCCTCTGAATGTACCTTCTTCGCTCTCCATTTCTACCGCTGTCCAACCGGGTAGCTTTATGGCTCCAGTTTTCCATTCTTCGCGGTGTTCGTACCAATTGGAGTGGATGCGCCGACGTTTTGACCCGCTCAACGTAGGCGACGAAGCAGTGTACCACTCGACCATAGGATAGGTCTCTTCGATAGTTCTACATCTGTCGTTTATTCTACTTGCTTCTTCGCCAAGGTTCACTAATCCTTTCCATCCAACCCATGACCACGATGGTAATTGGCCTCCTGGTAGTTGATCTTGTCTTGGTCTGTCAGATAGCTTTCGAAGCTCAAGTTCCGTATGCCGCCAGAACGGGGTCCATGCAAGCGCTCGATGGAAGAACATTTCTGGAATCCCGAAAATAAAGCCGCCCTCAAAAGAACGACTCAACACAGCTAACATACCAGCAATCCCTGGTAGCGCATCTTCTGGGTACCGAAGATCTTTTTCATTGTAGTCGCCAATAATGTTTCCGAGCGAGCCGAGTTCTGGAAAGCCGTCAAGGCTTTCCATGAGTCGTGGCTCGATGTACGTTTCTATCTCCGCACCTAATATGGAATCTTCGTGAGACTGTTGGTGCTCACACTCCCAGTGTGCTGACTTGTTTAGAAAAAATAGCTTTCTCGTCGCTAGCTTGCGTTCTTGGTAAGTCCATCCCCGCAAAAAGTATGGGGTATTTCCGTGGACAAGAGAAAATAATCCGGTGCTGCGAACGATGATATTGCGCGACCCAAATGGTAAGACTTGCTGTTTCAATTCTCTGGATTTAGATATACCATTTAGGCCGAGTATACCGTCTCTAGCATCTCCATCAGTAGCGACGATGGTCAGTGTAGCACTGGCATAGATTGAGCCCATCATTGTAAGCTGACGCACAGTTTCCGCAGGGTTATCGTGACCTATACACAGGGCGTCCGTCCACAGATATCGTTCGTTCAGTTGTTTCGTTACAAACATAGCATGGACGAGCGTGGGAGGAATCCGCGATGTTATATTTGGGCTGCGGAAAGCATGAGGCTCTCGAAGCCTTGTACTAAGCTCAGCATCCATCTTGAGACCGACGTGACCTCCGTATGTGTAACTCAATGCCACGAAATTGACTTGATCTTTTCCGGGAACTACACATTCCAACTCGACATCCACAAGCCACGTTGGTGTAGTCTTCCAGATTTTCATGGGGTTGTCGCATCTGCTTCCATGTGAGGCTAGACAATCAGACTTCCATTGCCTGATCTTGGTCAGATCGACCCAGTCGGAGTCCATGATGTCGCCTTTCGCGAAATTTTCTGTGCCGTCGGTACTCGGGCAGAGTAAGAGCTCCCAAACCTCCCTCCGCTTTTTCAACGATTGAGTCATCGTTACCTCCCCAGGACTCTGTCCGCAGCGAAATACAATATCTTTCTGGACAGGTCGATAATCCTTCATCGATTGCGTCTGGCAGTGTTCCTCGAATCTCTGAACTAGCAATGTGTGTTCGCTACATTGAAGTGCGCCTTGTGATTGGAAAGTCGAGATATCGATATGCTCCTTCCGCACCCCTTGAAACATCTCGAGCAGGGCAATACATAGATCGCATGACATAGTACACTCGGAATATGCCATTGTCAATTTGTAGGGTCCAAAATGATGGAAAAATAGTTGTCAAGGTGGTGGACAAATCGGCTGTAGGAGGTAATCGTGCAGCACCATGGCGGGGTAGCACCAGGCTTTATCACCCTTGTCAGGCGCCCAGCTCTCTACAAGTCCAACCGCTGATCCGCATGGCGAAACACTTCCAGTGCCTGCATATCATGTCCTAACAAAGTGCAGGCTGCCCTGCCTGCCCCTTTGCAACCTTCCTCTCATACCCCTCGCCTGACTTTTCATCTCACTCCATCTTTCGACTCTCAAGCCTTCATGTTCCCATCCTCGCATTCGGGTGAAAAGAGGCACTAAAGTCGTGCTCTTCCATAGCCCTTGCTTGTCGCCTCTGCTCAATACGATACTGGCTACCAATAGGACAATGCTCATAAGCACCACTACGCCAGGTATAATGAGCCAAGGCCGGCTCACTCGGATATAGGTCTCTTCGCGATACGAAATCCCAAATACTCGCGTGGCATTGTCATTTTCGCGGATCCTGTTCGTCATCGAAGTTGCGATATTGTCGAAAGTTTGTGACATATCCGAGTGTGTGTATAGCACCCGTCCTACGGCATCTTGTTCGACCATTGTGAGAAAATCTGTCGCAAGCCAATTCGCCAGCAGATCATGCTCTACCGCGTTGACCACGAAAGTTCCGTCAGGTCCATCAAATCTGAATTCTCTTTCACCTCAAAGCGACCCAACCGAATACCGTTGTCACCAAGGGTAGATCTGGAAGGAGCGTAATGACGATGGCGATGAAGCACGCGCAGCTCAGAAGTACGCTACCAAGCTCCCACCACCACCAGTCGTTGAGCACATCCGCCCAAGAGCCTTCTTTTCGCTTTTGCGGAGAGTTGGAAGAGGTGTCAGCCTTCAAGCTTAAGGCATCGAAGTCATGGGTAGCAGACGATAGTAGCGTATGCTGATGGGAAATGGACTCTTGTTTACCGTTCAGCGGCACTTCGAACGATTCATGGTCCTGCAAACTGGCTCCTCTTGAGATGGGAGACAAATATGGCTGGGAATAGGTGCTTGTATCATGGCGATGTGATCCAAGGTTTTCTACATCGCTCGAAGTCGATGGACTTCTGTACGGCTCGGTGGGCTCGAAGAACTCCTCGGTTCTGTTCGGTAGGTGCTCGTAGTGGGAAGGCCTAAATGTCATAATCGATCTTGACAACTGTCTTCCTTCGATTTCGAACGATAGAAGAATCTAGTAGGGAGTTGTGAGAATGCTGGATAACCTATGAGATATTGAGCACCACATCGGAGCCGATGTTTAGCTTCTGCATCAGATTGCTTATGGTTACCCACTATGCCACGAATAAACTGTCGCGGGATGGGCTAATGCCATTCTGGGCAACCTCTTGCTCATAACTCTGAGTATACATTCAAAGTTTGCATGGATGCGCATGGAATAATGAATGGATTGAAGGCTGCGCATTCCGATCGAAGCTTGCAAGCGCGTTTTCTGGAAACAGTCTTGGGCCCGCTTTTAAACGCAAGGCTTCACCGCATTGTCGCCTTGCGCAAAAGCGTCAAAGTATGCTCCTTCCTTCTCCAAAAAATATCCGGTAAGCTCTGGGGTACGTGCCGCGCTCAGCGCTTGTTGCTCGCTCTCGAACATCATTGCGACAGATCTTACACCACGTCTCCAGTAAATACAGCATGAGGGACTGCATCTCTGAGTTACCCGGCGAACGGAATCAGTGTCGCAATTTGACTGCCCTGCCCTCTTAAAACAAGGCGTTCACCGCGTAACCCGAGTCTGCTCGCTCAGCTGCACTCTGGATTGTGCAGTCAACGTAAGTGGGGTACACAGCTGAGACGTTTGACGCGCTGGCTCGCACCCCTCCAAGCTGAGCGCGGTCGCTTCGCCCGGGGACACCTGGCACGAATATCGTCTCTCAAGCACGCGTCCTTTCTCTCTTTCCGCGGTACCGCCATCGGAAAGAGTGTGTTTTGTGTGAGAAACGACCACTGGACATCAACAGCCCCCCGGCAATGTACGCCTGTGGCTGCCGTCTTCCAGCAGCATGAGACTGCGACCAGCGAGATTTTGACGTGAGCTTCCACACTTAGAACAAGCTTGTCATCAGAAGCCATGTTCTCTTCGCAGCAAAGTTCCCAGCAACTTAAGCCCGACCCGTCCCCACCTCCGGAAACGCTGCCCTGCGAACTGGTGAACGACGCGCCGGTGGATTGGTCAGGCCGCGGCACGTCACATGTTGACTACGAGAAAGACGAAAGAGTGCCATTGGTAGAAGGTCGCTTTCTAGGACATGGAGTACACGGTGGGGTTTACGAAACGGAAATAGCAAGCAATGGGATTCGACTAGCATGGAAGCGAAAATATGTTCGACGCAAGATCAGACAAAGCGACCGTCGAGAAATCGAGATCATCAAACGGCTCAGTCATGCGCACATTATACGTCTTATAGGAACATATACTCGTGGGCCGGTCCTTGGCCTGCTACTATGGCCTGTCGCTACTTGCGATCTTGCAACACTATTGGAAGACGCAGATTGGCTGCGGAAACGCACAACAGATGAAAACTGGGAAGCCAGCGGCACCCTGGTATCAGTTTACTCCAAAGGTCACGATCACGACCGAGAGCCCGCTTTCGTGTCTCTAGGTCTTATAGGCAGTGACAGTCAGCAAACATTAAATAGCACGATCACATATCTGGAGAAGACAATCGGTTGTATAGCGAGTGCTGTCTCGTATTTGCACGGCTCCGGTATCAAACACAAGGACTTGAAACCATCGAATGTAGTTCTGTCAACTGATGGCCTTTGGGTAACTGACTTCGGCTCTGCAACTGACTTTTCCACCTTGTCGTCGAGTCTTACGGACAACGGCGAGCGTGGCACGCCGAAATACTTCAGTCCCGAGGTCGCAAGCTACGACCCGAGCGGCTCTTCTTCAGACATCTTCGCGATGGGGTGCGTCTTCCTCGAGATCATCACGTTGTGTATGGGCTATTCACTCGAAACCACACAGACACTACGCGCAAGGGAAGATAAGTCGTTTCAGGCGAATCTCGACAGGATTATACATTGGTTCGATACTGAGGAGAACATGTGCCGAAGACCAGCAGATGAGCACTTAGTCGGCTTGATCCGGCATATGATGAGGCCGGATGCGAAAGATCGACCAAGAGCATCTCACGTAGAAGAGCAGGTCGCTCTCATAGGCGGGCTTGCAAAGGCTACAGGTGGATCGGAGTTCTCCCAGCCATGTTGCGGACTTGGCATGTTTCTGCCAGAACCAGATGGTCCAGGTGAAGTGGCGAATGCCGCGAGGATGTCCAAGACGACTTTTAGAATAATTCATGGCAACACTCACATGGAAAGTCAAAGAATAGGCTGGCATCATGTTAAGTATCTTGTTGATGTTCAGTATTCACAGCTAGTGGAAAGGGTTCACTTCTACGCGGTAAGTGCCGATCCGTTGGCCCATATTCCTGTACTTATAGGTGGTTTAGCATCAAAGCTTCAACCAAACTTACTTCGTTCTGGAGGAGCCGCCGTTCGAGCTTGCCTTCGAGATCTACGGCTCGTTCGAGATGAGCGCATATATTGTTCTACGTGAAGGTTGGTTATGGGTTCATCCAAATGCCCAGCGTGTGCCGAATGGGCCAGCTAGACGTATGCTCCCTTTGGAATGGTCCTTGGTGTTGAAGACGGGTGGCGGTCATCGCAACGACATCTTTATCATACGCAAATCCTCTTGAATAGTGATATCCGCACATTTACACTACAGTAAAGAACTGCGAAGCCATGCAGAATGCTCCAGTTGTTAGATGCAGCCAGGAGTGTGTCGAGCACACTATACTACATAATCTTTCTAGGATTCGTCATACTGTACGTATTTTAAGAGAGGCAGAGTTGGCACCAGGATAACAAAGTTTGACTTCGGACGATGACTTGGGCTGCCACACGGTAATGAAGAAGCGACGTTGACTACCTAGCGGATGTACATACATGCATTGCGATAGTGATGATTGCTTAACGTGAGCCAAAGTTCAACAATTGCTCTCAATCTCCACTCCGACATACTCTGGAGCATTGTACGAATCTACCGATGTGGAAGGTTGGGGTTGGGGTCCAGGCAACGACCGTCAGGCGGGCCGTTGGGAAAGTAGCAGGCACTGCAACCCCTCGGGGTACAATCGTTGAGACTCCCGCAAGTTGTACCAGCGCAGAGGGCTGATCGACTGATGAAAAGGTCATCTGCACTTTGCTTCACACTATGGGTGGAAGAAGACTTCTTTCCAGTTCGCGGCTTCTCGCTGGGGTGTAAAAGAATTGTTTCGTCTGTGACAAGTCATCCGTCAATGGTACCTTGTACCAAGGCAGATACTGAATCTGGTATCTCTGCATCGCTCGACCAGGCACTGAGCTGTTGCTTGCCGAACCATCGAACCTGCTCGGGATCCAGCTGACGTTAATCAATGACTTCGAGGTTGCCCGCGAAACTACGCAAGACACCGTCCGGTCCGACGCTAAGTGCTCCTGTAGCGTCTGTCTTTAGATCTTTCACGACCTCAGGAAACGGTCCCTCGAAGTAACGATTTTCGGTAGGAGGTCGTGATCGGTTAATTGCGGTGGCTCCAATCTTCGTTATCATGTTAGCATACATAGTGTTGCTGTGAATGGACTCCAACATACAGTAGGGAGAATAGCAACGGCCAACGCCAGATAGCTTTTGCCCAACATCTTGTATGTCTCAAATCGTAGAGGGTGCAACAATTGAATCACTGTCGTTTCTCAGCTGGTGAGGATTTCTGCTTCGAACAAGCCCTTCCATCTAGCTTTTATGCTTGAGTCTTCTCCTAACAATGTCTCCAAACCTCGCTTCAACTACAATCAACTCAGGACACTAAGGCGCTACATCTCAGACTGAAAAGCAGATGATTGACTAAGTCAACATTGGCAATTACCACTCCAGGACGTTCCCCTCACTGGTTTTATTGATGCTTTGGGTGCCTTACTCAACATATCGTGTTAAGACCCGAGGAACTTTCAAGTAGATGGAAAGATTTCCTTGGCCTTGTTGAACGAATCCTTTATCTCATGTCATACTACCAGTCATGTCTTGGCTCCTGTCGGGCGTTCTACTGAGAGCACCTTGGCATGTTGTAACTAGGTGTACTTCGAATCGCAATGCTTTCGTTCTTCTGCTTTACGCTATACTACTGTTTTGTCCAGTGAATAACGGATAGTTCGATACTTCTGCCTCACTATTGTCATAGCCCTCGACGAGATTCGCCGTCTCGATGAGAAGAACTAAGCCCCAAATATGGCCGTCTTTCGGTCCGGGCCGAGGTATGCAAGCCAGGAAGTGACAAGCCGGGAAGGATCGTTGATCGAACTGCCGGTTGTCAGCATACTAGAGTAGTCACGGGTAGCACGTATGATGTATCAGGTGTGCACGTAACCGGAAACCAGTTTTAGCACGCTCACCTACAACCTGCCTTGGACGCTGAGCGATGAATATTCGTTCACCCACCTTCAAGACTATACCGAATGCTCGAGACAAATAAGCGATGACCAAAAACACTTCATCAGAGCCAACTTCTTCGGAGGCGCCTTCGAACACGCCCCATACCTACGATCGCAATCATCCTGATCAGCAAGAGGTAACCGCAATCCTTGCAAAGTTCAACAAAGACCCTCTTAGCATCATATCGCTCGGGAAAGACGGTGTTTTGCGGACCCTTTCTGCCGATCGTGTGGTTCTTGATGCAGTAGATTTGAGTCCGCGACTGGTGAAAGCGTTCTTGGACCGCGTTCCACCAGAATACCGTGCGCTCACACCAGAGCTCGAGGATGTTGATGGATCCAAGGCGACAGAGGAGGAGCTGTGGCACCCCAACGCCAGTTTGCTGCCACAACCCATGAGTGAGGAGCAGAAGAGGAAAGCGATAGCGCAGTTGGAAGAATCTCAGCAACAGCAGGCCAAAGTCGATGACGGAGATGGGAAGGATATAGACAAATTGGATCTCGTTTGAACCCGATGCGAAAGTATGGCAGTTATGGTGCCGTGGTATGATGATCTAGTAGAGCCTATTGCAGGAAGATGACATTGGGTACCTGCTGTTTTTTCATCTCCATGTCGCAGAAAGGTTCTATCATGGATCACTATGTTGCCTTGCGCAGGTAGATGACGCACCACGCAATGCACGCTGCGACACATTCATATAACTCTATGCCAGCGGACTTACACGTCAATCCAGTGAGGGAGGCAATGCGTGAAAAGGAAAATGCGCTGAGTGACAGAGACTGGAATTTATGGTCAATGCCTTGTAGTCAGCGAGCTAGTCAGATAGTGTGGCTATCACATTGCTGAAGAATGGCAGAAGAGCGTGCCTTGAGCACGGGGTTTTGATGATTGACAAGATCAACACTCGCGCACCTGTTCAATCCGTCATTGGGTATATCGTATCGAAGATCTGTTATTGCACCACGTCGCATCGTGGGTGTATACTTGCAGCGCATTACGTCTAACGACCTCGTTCTGCAAAACATCCAGAATAAATGGCTGTAACATGGAAGGGAATGCAGAATGGTGTGGCCCACAATGATCAAGGAGTGTTAGAAATGTGGTGGACTTCACTTCTGTCAGCACATTTTCAACATGGGCGCGTTGCGGGTCGGCTGTACCTCTCAAGTGAGAAAGCATTTTGGTAGCGGATCCCGTTTCGGAAGCCTGGGACTGAGATCACGGCTCAGCAAAGACCTGTGCATGACACCCTCCTGCGAACGCTCGCGAGCAAAGCGAGTTGCAGAAAAGCGCCCTCGAGAGAGATACAAGCTCTTGATTGGCAAGCCTGGCAAGAATCCTGTCTTTGACACACCGCTTACCGGAGATGCCCGCCACGTTCTGGATGAGAACAATTCGTTGAAGAAGCTATCGTAGCTCGCTCTGGTAGAAGATCAGCCTCTGGTTGGCATGTCTGGAAAGAATCCTGCCGGCTGAACCCACTTTGACGGAGCAGTGACAGTTTAGCAGGTCGATGGTCTGCACAGCATCGTACGGGTAGCTTAGAAGAAAAGGGAGTAAACATGCCGCTTGAGAAAAAGGCCAGTCCTTGATTGGCACGCTTGCGAGTGCTCTGATCCGCTAGACCCACGTTTCATAGATGCGGCTGGAATTACGGCTTAGCAGGAGGCCACGAAACCAAGCCACAATCAACCACCGTCGGATCAAAAGAGTGAAGAAAGCATCCCCGAGTAAAAGGCCAGCCTTTGATTGGCAAGCTTCATACCCGTACGTTCTGCTAGTGGTGGGCTTCCGGCCGTCTCCCGCGTCTAGCTAGGGAAAGGGCGCTGCGACACATCCATCCAAAAATAGAAAAAGTAGAAAGCTCAGCGCCTCCACTGGTAGAGAATGCAACATCGCGATGTCGGTAGTATGGCTTAAAACAAAATGTGCTTTCGCTCGGATGAGAGGATCGGACTGTCTTGAGATCACGTGCAATGCGCGCGCTATCTGTACCTAGGTAGAATAAATGCGGCGAGGCCAAAATCACGGCTTAGCAGTGCGTTATGGCCCCCATTACAAATAACAGACAAATGAGAAACAAATGAGAGAATTTCTGTGAAGAACAGCACCCGGGTCGCTAGAAGTTGAGTGATTGGACGGGTTCCTTCCGTGCTGACATGGCGCACAGCTGATGCCTAGAGATGGCGTTTACCATTGGGGCCCACTACTGCATGCACAGCACGTCCCGGTCTCATGGAAGCCAATAGACTGCCCCTTCTCCAGGCGACCCTCGCTTCCTCAAAGATCGACCGTTGAGTTGTTGCAGCCGACCCCACCTTCAGTGCTGAGCCATGATCTGCCTCCCTTCTGTCTATGAAGCGACGTACAAAGTATAGTACGAATCCAGGGTTGCGAGAGAGCGTATCTACCATGAAATCTCATGTTCTTGGGCTGCGCGACTGAGCGATCTTGCGCAATAATAGAGCCGACACACCTGAACTGCTCTGACGCATGTCCTCTGCTCGTATGATTGCCGCAGTCGCGTTGGTTTTCTTGTCGGCATGTCTATGGCTCTTGTCAGGTTTGGTACCATCAGGCTTCCAAGAGCGACTCACACAGATTCGGTGATAGGACGATTGCAACAACTTATTTCCGTTTCATATCGATCTCACTGCCACACTTCTAATATGATGATTTGCAAAAGCTGCACTGTGAGAGCATCGGAAATGAATCTGTATATAAGCTACGCTCATGATTAGGTGACCCTGACAGTCGTGAGGGACCCATATATGGAAGGAAGCCTGCGGCGGCTAGTCACATGGCATGCGCTGCTCTACCGATGTCTGGCTTATACATGAACAACAGAACCTTAGGGGAATGAGGACTACCATCATGCTGAACGGCTTCTGAAGGGTGCAGCGAAGATTACGGCTTAGCAAATGTCGTGACGAAATGACCCAAAAATAAGCAAGATATAGCTGAGGAACTTACAAGGACTCTAGAACGGGTTGAAAAAGGGCAGTCGCATAAACCAAGGGACAATCATTGGTCGAAGTAAGCTCGTGGTCGAACTAAGCTCGTGCACGCAGCCAGCGCTAGCTCGGGCGCTTGTGGGAAAGCCTAGCGCCGCCACTGGTACGCCTCACTTTTACAACCGCTTAGCAACACCAAAAGCAGCCGAGTCTGCCTTGTTGGTTTCTTTTTTAAGCATGGTACTGCAGGATAACCAACTTGATCAACGCGTTGTGCTACCGCTTTCGTGCAAACCACCAGCATCAGCAAATCACTCACACGTTCCTACTGCTCTTGCTGCGGGAATTATGGTCAGCAACGATGGGCGAGCCGCCTTAGAATACTATCGAAGCTCTGATCAAACGACTAGTCTTTCTAAAAGAAAAATGCAATCATGATTTGCTAGACTCATGTTGACCTTCGAGACATGGGGCGAGTGCTTAAGCTTAATGAAATCTCCTTACATTGCCTTGCGATGTGCTTCTGCTTGATCTGTGAACCAAATCATGCACTCGAAGCTGTGGATTGCTCTTCGCTGTCCCTTTCTGCAACGCATCTCCTGCCCTTTTTGGACTTGTGATGGGTGCGAAGTACATCGAGTCTTGCAAAATTGATTCCGCATCCCCATCTTCGGCCGTTTGGAAGTACGCCACCGCATTTGACTGCGCTATCAGGGTCGTGAAGTCTCATATGGCGAGCGAGGTCACCCTGCCTGGCGCACGTTCGGTAGCAATTGGGGCATTGCAATTTTTGATTGTCGCCGTGAGTTCTAAGATGTGACTCCCAATTCCACTTCTTGGTGAAAGTCTTGTCGCAATGCGCACATCGATATTCTCGCTTAGTTTTGAGGCGCTTAGCCACCTCTCTTTGCTGTGTTGGCTGGGGCTCTGCCTGCTCCGGCGTTGGAGTGACTGGTATGTCAGGGACTTCCACTGGTTGTTGCACTTCCGGAACGAGCTGGGGTTCGTCCTCGATTACGACTTCGGGTTCTGGTGAAACTTCTCGCATGCTTTCGACGATTTCCTCATCTGTTGGAAAGTTGTGGTGAGGTTCAGTCATGTCCGGGTGATTCTCTCTGAGGTGTCGCTTCAGTTGTGCCTGTGTCGCAAACCCGATCTGAGAGCCTCTACAATGTTCATCAGTGCAACGAGCTGGGAGCACATGTCGTTGGAAATGTCTCTCGCGCTCCTCAAGTGTTGTAAATCCGTCCGTAAAGTACCTGCAGCTGAATCTTGGGCACTTGAACAGGTTACTGCCGTACATGTCTCTCAAAGCTCTAGCCACGTCTAGATTTGAGCTGTGAACAATATACGTCTCAATACAGCGACGAACGGCTTTCACAACGCCCAAGATTCTGAGAGCAGATTCTTCCGGGCGCACGTCCCCAAAGTGCTTTAGTTCTTTATCAGTCAAGACGAGTGCCAGTTGAAGCTTTGGAAAGCTTTCGCGGTGACTAAATTGCTGCAGCACATCCCGAGTCCGTTTAGACGCTGATCTCGAGCTGGAAGCAACGCTGGCACTTGGCTCATTCCAGTATTGCTCAACCAGCACCTCAAGAGATTCCGTAAGGCTCATGCAGATGTTGTCCTGGTCAGGATGAGTTGAGCTCATACCTGCCTCCAAGTGGCGAAGCCAATACAGCACGGAGTATTCCATGAAACCATATTCTCCGGCCAGCATCTGCTCTTCTGAAGGTCTCTGGAACGACGGCAAGTTCAAGTAGTCGATGCAGAGCGTTGCAATCGGGAGCTCCCCAGTGATGTCGTTGAGAAGATCACTATTAGCTAGGTACCTGCTAGCGTCTCAGTATCACTCTCATGTGTTCTTACCAAAGATCACGTACGTTTTTGCCGTTGTGTGAACCAACTCGATACTCCCATCTTCGCGAACATCAACCAGCGATTCACAAAGGTCTTTGACGTGAACTCGAAGTCGTCTCCGTTCGAATTCCACGGCTCTTTTCTCGAAGTCAACTGATCTCAGTGTTTGTACTTCGTGCATTTTCAACGACCGTTTTGCATAGACGAGCCAGCCAAGGAGTTCCAGAGCCTCATCCCGTTGGGCAGCAACAGGTTTTTCAATAATTGTCTGCATAATTCGAGAATAACTGAAATAGGAAGTCAGCCAGCGAGGTCAAACATTCAGCAATCATGTCACTCACGCCTTGTCCAACGTGTCCAAGTGAGTCGAAAAAGTCTCCATCTCGCGTTCTAAGCTGTATATGGAGCTCTGACCGCAGAGGTTGATCCAAACGAGATGAGCAAACAGAAAGACTCCTTGGTGTCATCTTTGTCAGTAATGCGAGTCTGTCGTTTAGGATTTACGTACCTTCAGCTGCTGCAGAAACGTGTTCGGCGATCTCATGTGCTTTATGTTCTGCGATTTGTAGATCCGTAACCAACTTCTCAGCTTGTGCCTTGCAGAATGCTTCTATATCTTCTTCATTGTTGTCGTCGTCTGCCGTGATACTAGGAAGATCGCGATAGTCTTTTCGGGCGCTGTCGTGTTGGCTGATAAACATACAATGAAGCCCGTTGCGAACCTCGGGAGGGCCATTCTCAATCAGGTCTCGAAACCAGCTCGCAATCTCTCCTCTTTCTTTTCTTGTGCAGCATTCATCCAATCCGTCAAGCACGATGTAAGCAGACTGGCAATTGCGTAGAGCAAAACTCAAAAGTTCCTCGACGAGAAGACGAGACATAAGCACAGGGACTCCACTGCTACAGCACTTGCTGTAAAAGTAGTCGAGTGTGTAATGGTTTTGCTCGAGAATCTGTGAAAGCAAAGTACGAGCCATGGTAAGAAAGCTGTTTCGATCGCTATCCTCTTTCCTGAAATAGAAGAACAAAACCGTAGGGTTTGATACAAGCTTTCTCGCTTCCTCTACGACAAAGGATGCAAGGACTGTCTTTCCTACAGCATAGCGTAAGTTATTGTGGAATGCATGGCCTCGATGACTTACCAGAACCAGGCTTTCCGTTCAACCACAATAAGTTCGAACCAGTCAGGATGTTTTCTCGGTGTTCGAACCACTCTTGGAAGGTCTCATCGCTTAGTAACCAGCTGCAAGTACCCGGGTACGCATGGCGAATCCGCCTCAGATACTCTTGATCACTTTCCATATCAGTTGGTTTGATCCATGTATACACAGCATGTCTGCGGCCCAAGTCCTCGCTATCTCTTTCAGCGTTCAACCTCGCCTCTTCACGTGAAGAAGTAGTCACAAGGGTTTCGAATTGTCCCAACATTGCCTGGCTACTGACAAGCTTGAAGCGGGATATCATGCAAGATATGATGTTTGTTAATCTAGTCTTATGCCGCTTCCACGTTGTAACGAAAAGCTCCGCCCAGACTGGTCGCTATTAACATGGAGTAAAGGCCAAGAGATGGGGCGGTCTTACGGCGCTGTTGAAAGTAGATCACAAGCAATCGATTGACTTCGATGATTTCACGATATGTCGTAATCAAGATCTTAGTCAGGCTTGCCTCAGTCTGGAACAACTCTTTATACATAGAAAGAGAGGGCTGAGCTCTTCCAATCTGTCCATAAATGTCGAGGATGTCATTAAAAGCATCAGTGCAGAAGTTTGTCGTCTGTTCCTCGGGTCAGTCTCGCACCTTGTTTTGAGTAGTCGAACATACCTCAAGCAAGAATCTCATAGGGCCCTAGCAAACTAAGTTAGTTTGGCCCTCCTCCGCTGGAACAAAACCACATACCCAGATGAATCCCATAATTTCCCCAACACTAGGTAGGATTGCAATAAGGTCGCCAAACTCGCTGAGCCTCTCCAGAAATGGGCCTAGACGAGCAAGGCCTTGCTGGCGACGCTCTGCATGCTGTATATGCTGCAAGTTGACAATGTATTGCTTGAGGGCAGTCAAAGTCGTAGCGGAAAATCTTGCTCGATTCCTCCGGGTCAGGACTTCCCCGAAACCGATAAGATGTGCTTTCATCGAGGATTCCAACGACTCTGCGTCCTGAAGATACTGTTCCAAGTCAAGTTGTTCGACCTCATCATCCAGCACAGTTGTAGGTAAAGCTTCTTTGCGTAATTTTTCGAGTGTTTTGACGATGTGCGCTGCATCGAGCAATATGCCGTCATCTGGAACGTCCAGTAGACCAGCGGAAACACGATCGCGCTTGAACATTTCGTCTAAGAGTCCAAAGAACTCTTTGTTGTAGAAGGCTCTCTGGAACTGGGCTGTCGCGTTACCATCATTTGATACTGCAGATTGAACATGATCATAGAGCTGAGTATGCATAAGGAGCACCGACTCCTTCACGTCTTGTCCACGATAAAAGCGTGGAGGGTCATGGCCCGATGCTCCATCGGCCATGCGAGCATTTTTGTAGTTGCTGACTCCTTCTGGACCGTGGATGTCAAAAGTTGCGACTTCAGACATGATGCATCCTAGTGACCATATATCGCAATCTCGGGTGTATCTGACTTGGCGAGGGGCAGCGTAGAACCCAGTAACGTGATTATTCGGGATGCCGGTCATCTCGGTATCGCCAGGCAATGATACCGGTTTCAGTTCTAGTAGGCCAAAATCTGCAATCTTAAGCTTCTTCTTGACTATTAGGATATTTGCGGGTTTTAAATCCTGATGATAGGCTATCTTGGTTCCTTTGTAAAGCTTGTGAAGTGTGCTCAGTCCTTCAGCAATGCCCTGTATCTGTGTCCAGAGTTCTTGGGATTGGAATTTGTCACCTGGCTCTTTGAGATATTCGTGAAGTGATTGCTGCGCTTCTTCCTGGAGGATGAAGAAGTAACTGCCGTGCCAGTACGCTCCCAAAGCCACCATAAGGTGCGGGTGATCTTCCTCCTTTGAAAGCCTCTGGAGATTGTACCATTCTTTCGCTGCAGACTTTTGCATGCCATGTTTGAATATCTTGCGAGCAAACCTTGTGATATGCTGCAAATGTTAGGGAACACATACAGTCAGTCTTGGAGAGGTCGTACTTCTCCAAAGTCTCGCGACCGATACTCGTCGTCTTGAAATTCGAAGCATCGGACTTCTGCAAACGTTCCCTCTCCCTTCAGCTCTATATCCTCCTTGATTGGCAATAGTTCTTTCGCCGGGATTGATATGATATCGGATGCGGGTCGAAGTTTTCGTACGAGAAAGCTGTACTGGTATTGCAATATCTTTCTTTGTGCCAACCCCAGATCCGAAATCCCCTCGCGACGGAGCTTATCGAAGTCGGCATCGCAGAGATACTTCGTCCCTTCCAGCTTTATCTCATACTTCTGGAACTTTTGAATCAGACCCGGACGGCGGACATAGATAAGTAAAGCATAGATAAGGGCATACTCCCCCTGCAGTTCCCACCGCTTAAGCTTGTTGAAGCAGCTGAAGCACTCAGAACGGTACTCTACTGATCCGCCGTCTAATATGCATTTCGCGCAGGAACAGAGGAAAAGTAACTCCGTCGTCAAATTATGGAGGGTGTCTGCAAATAGTGCTTTGATCTTCCGCGCAGGGATATAGAAAGAGGCACTACCGGGAGGAGAACATTCGTTGATCGGTTGCACCTCACTGTCTTCTAGGTATTCCTTGGCAATTTGGCACGGAATCGCTCCATTCATGGTAGCTACCTGTCATCGATTTTTCGGATGCTGAGCAATGTTGGGTGATGTGTTGCTCAAATCTGTTTTCGCTTAACGAAGACATTAAGACGCTGCAGCACGTGTGCTCACCGGTCTACCGCCGCACGTGCAGTGGCTGCCATTGGCGCTGACCGAAACGCAGATAGCTTCTCAAATCAGTCATGCAGGTATAATCAACTAACGAGGAGTCGCATTCTTTCGATAGCTGATGCGAGGGTGCTTGGAAGAGATATCAACTGAGCAAAGTCGCTGCAATTGACTGATAGATACCTACCCGTTATGAATTACGCGTGATAGCTTCCGCGTACCGTTCACGCGCTCTTATCACAGCGCACAAAGATAGGTCTCGGCCGTGTCGCGGGGAAGCTGTGTACCCCGATAGAATCTCGTGTAGCTTGTAAGGCAAATATTACGTCGGTCCAATGAGACGATGGCCACGGCATCGCCTGTGCTGATTTCAAGCTCATAACCGTGTTTTTCAGGTATCGAAAGACAGCATCTTGCTAAGCCGTAGACTGCCTTCGATACTGATGGCGGCGCACGGATATCGGGGCCAGAAGCCTGGCTTACCGTTCAACCAATCTCCACAGCCAATCCCTTCTGACTGAGGGAAGTGCTGTAGCTGCAACCATCGCGACCTGAGTACTGTACCACGTCGCTGCTGAACTGCGGTAGACGTTCGTTTCCCGAAAGCTTAGACACCCCTGAGGCAGTTATGGGTGCGCTGGTGCGCTGGTAAATCACCCGCGAAGCGTACGGCGCATGTTTCGATTCGCAGGTGACTGCATCTGCATCCCAGAAATGGGTTCATTACGGCTTAGCAGGCCTGCCAGTAGCACAGCCTCCTATCTTTCAAGTCTATGAAATACGTAGAAATGCGCACTCGCGTTGCTAGGACACGTGCGATTGGTTTACTCGCGTGGAACACGGGCTAGATCTCAGGCCAGGGCGAGGGCTGACGTGGCCTGCACACACAATACGCACATGGCCCGGCATCGCCGTCTTGGCAGTTCGCCTCTGCCTCTGCCAAGATACCAGCGAACCAATCCCTTTCTTGTCTGCTACTCGACCCCTTCTTTTCAAGCGATTTCCTGAGGGGGCTATGGAAACCGATCTTTGAGGCAGAGCTAAAATGCTGAGCCGTAATCTTGCTGCCCAGTAGAGCCGCATCTCAACAGCGGTACGAGACGCAGACATTGTCCATGCAGCTCGAAGGTGTACCTGATGGGAAGCTGCAACTTTGGGGCACATGCGCATATCGTGTACGCATCTGTCTCTTTGATGGACAAGCCTAGAGTGAATGTTGCTAAGGTGTGGTCTAATAGCCCATCGCGTGAGATCACTACTTCAATATAGTGTATCTAGACCTAATGTAGTCAAGCCACCTAGGTAGTGTTGCAATGAAGACACCGATGTATTGGCGTCAGCCTTGATCATCGAGAGTACCTGGGAAGAGCTGACTAGAGCGGGTTTCTTCTAATATCGAAAGCTCATTGACGAGTGGTAATATGCAACTGAAGTTGCGCAGTCGCTTGTGTTATGCCGACGTTATTTCTAACAGTGCAGGCTCCCATGGTATACTACAATGCGCTTGCTAGTACACATGAGTGTGATTGCGACTTGCGATATGGCCTCCGCATGAGGCGGTTCTCACTTCCAGCGGTGATTTTTGAAATCGCCATCTATCGAGCCGCACTCTCTCCCACGGCTTGCTTGAAGCAGAGATGGAATATGTTGGGTTGAATAGATTTTCATACTGTCCCAAGGTTGAACTCAGTTAGGTACCCTTCGGCAGTCACGTCGCAGATGACCTGATACAATCGACATCCATCGTCAACAAAGACCATAAGCGATGTCGACTGTGAAAAGAGCTAATTTCTGGGCTAATCCTACAGAATTGGCTATATATGACCAGTTCTTGGTAAGTCAACGATGTATTAACAGACTCAACGCCTGGAGCTATACTTTATCCTGCCACTTCAGGGAGGCTCAATCTCGTCCGAAATTGACCTACGCACCCTCTGTCGCCTCCAAACAAACCAAAGAATCACTGTTGACCCAGAGAATGCAAATGTAATGATAACATACACCCAAAAGTTCGACGCAACAGTCAAAGCATTTTGACGCTCGGAGTAAGCGAAAAAGTTGGATCCAAACAAAGTCTAGCTTTAAATCAGTCGCAAGACATAATCGTTCGGCGCACAAAAGCAACTTACTGCTAGGAAGGTCGCAGGTAAGAATATCGCGGAAATCAAGGCGATTATCATCATAGACCGAGTGTCATTTGTAGACTGTTCCGTGAGTCGTTTCATCAGGGCGTTCTCTTTGATTCCCTGTTCTGTCAATCGTTGCATCTCGTGGTTGATGTGCTTGCTCGCTTCGTTCAATCTGAAATCCTGTATACCTTGAACCTGTGTGTGGAAGTTCAGCAATGTCGCAGTCCAAGCGCATACAAGCGCTTACAAGTTGGCCGATTCCAGCAGACCGCGCAATGAGTGTCTCAATCCTGGCCAAATTCGTCTCTTGTTCGTATACGTATTTGTCCAATATACCTTGCATCTCATTGAAGCTGGTCTGCAAAGTTGGTGACGAGATCATCTTGAGGTCTAACACCCCGCTTCTTAGCTGACAGCCGAGTCGAATGTTCAACTTCAGTATGTGAGCTAGTCTCAGCAGCTTGTCGGACAGGATGTGCAGCTTTCTAAGATCTGAAAAATCGGCTTGCACGTCCCCTTCAGTATGCAGCTCCTTGACATTAGTGAAGAAGCCTCGATCAACCTGAATGGCTAGTTAATTCCATTCTTATTTGCGCGTTCCTGTACTCACTATCTTGGAGAACTCTTCTTCGAGATACACCAGATACTCGCGCCAGTCTTCAGACACTTCTAGGAGTAACATCGAATGCTGTAGAACCTGCCTCATAGGCGGATTGTCATCAAAGCACTGGAGGTTACTCCTCAATCTGTCTTTGAGGTGGTCTGGGGCTTGCAAGAATATCCACTGACACCGTTGATCTGAAGATGAAAAGTGTTGGTAAACACCAATCTCTCGGATGGAGAACGGGTCGGTTGGATAGCGTCGGCCGTGTTTTGCGACATACTTAATGTTGTATCCAATGTCTAAAAAATGGCTCAGCGTTACATTCCAGAATGACACCAGGGGACATTACTGTAGCTGCAGTCTCGACCTGGCGCCGAGTGATTGCCGGAAAGATCCCCTTCGGACATGTTCATAAACAACGAGCTGAAGCCTTCTTCCACAGGGCCTGTCTTTTCGCAAAATAAGCGGACTACATCTACAAAATTAGGGTGTACAGCCATCTGCGTAAAGAGTCGTCGAAAGTATTCCTCACTTATGCAAAGGCGACTCCAAGTGTAGCTTTGGTCGATGAAACTGCCGCTCATTAGCTTTGGCCAGCTCTATCTAAGAAGCATACTGACACCACTGAAGTCACTGGCTCAAGTTCCATGATTGCTTTCAAGCTTTCCGTGCTTTGAATCTGCTGTGTCAATACATCGTGTCCATCATCTGTTGATTCGTCAATCGCACTCCAATTGAGACATCACACTTGAAGCCTTGCCCTTGTTTGCTACACCGATGGCTATGAATTCGAATGCCGATTCATTATTCGCGACAAACAGATCTTTACTCAGCCGGCTTATCCTGGTATCGTTGCGAGACGCGTCCGACTCGAGCGGTGCGAGGCGAAGACTTCGAGGATATCTTTTCCAATCATCATTGCTATCGAACCTTAATGGACACATTTTGCGATTTCCGCTATGTGATCTGCGCGTCTTTCATTTATAGCGAGCGGGATTGGATGGTTCACCGGTAGGCTGTAGCCGCTCGGCCGCAGCTCAGTTGTCAGGCTCGACCGGTAGCCCGCCCAATAGAATCTGCCCAAATGTGCACTAGGAAAGCAGCAAGTCTAGTTTTTAATTTGAGCTACTCAGGTATCTGGGAGGTCGAGGGTGCCTCGCTGTGCTGGTGGGGCTCGGGTTCCCCGCCTAGCCGCCTAGCCGCCTAGCCACAAAACAAGGGCGACACTTGATGTTTCCCCAGCTGCCCCGCCACTACGCAAGTGCCTGCCCGAACTTCCTCTGCAAATCTACAAGCTCATCCTGTTCAGGTCAGCGCAACCGCCGCTCGCAATTATTCTCTGGAAATGCTTACACGGGTAAGCTCTCTTGGGACTTTGACTTTCCACTTCTCTCCTTCGTCGGGTATCTGGCAGAGATCGATCAGCATCGCTCGTTTCTTTGTTGTGGGAAACACCTTCGTACAACAATTTCATAAGTGGCTGACCCGAACATCGAACTGAGGAAAGCGACCAAGACATCATACTCCACTGTATAGCGACTTTCGATGACCTGTGTAATCATTATGCCTGGAGTGGTGTAGTGTGGAAAATGGCAAACGTCCACTGGGCTTAACTTCATGAGGTGAGCAATGCCTTGGGTGATCCGAGCGTAAGGTTGCTCAGCCTCGTCTGTGCACGAGGCAGACCGCGGTCCTCGAGAGTCCTCGTTCGTCCAGGTCTAGATCCAACTGCAGCACTGCCACAGCAACCAGACATTCACTGACGACTGGTTTTTGTGCCTTCGTAAGGCCTCCTTCATAGCAGCACATCGATGTTGTAGCGTTGTTCTAGCAGCAAACGACTTCGACACCGTATTGTGCGACTTAGAAGTTTATCGCGTATATTGAGGCAGACAAGCAAATGCCATGGACGCAACTCCTTACATGGCCTTGAAAAGGCCATATCCTTTCGAAATCGATCTTGCGCCTATGCCACATTACGAGCAACCACAATATGCTCGTGGCATGACATCATTCAACGAGTCGTTGCGTCTTCTGGGCTCGGTACGACTAATGAAACCAGACTAGATCATTGTTCTAAGTTCTTTACAGATCATCGATGTGAAAGCCCAGGCTCGACGGGAAGCATGCAAATTCATCCACCGCACATATTCTCTTGGATCGAACCAGCATCATGTTACTTTCGAGATCCTCGCGAAAGGCGACTACTTTGAGCTCTCGAGCAATGGATATGAGTTTGCGCGTCTTGACAAGACCTTCTGTAGCGAAGCTCGCCGACTCGTAGGGCTCGAAGTCAGGTTCCAGGCGTGTATGGAGCGCAAGCTATGGGAGGAAGTCACAAGAACTTCCCAATCATATGCAGATGAAGTAGTAACGTTCTCCATTGATGTGAACTTGAAGAGCCTGGTTCATCATGCTGGTAAAGTCGGCAATATCCTCCTTAGCTCTGGCATCTTCTTGCAATGCCCTGCGCAGAATCCTGCTGGAGAGACGTACTACAATCCTCAGATTCTGCAGATCGAAGGATTCCATGAAAAACCCGACGAAATCATGATTGAGGCAGATGATGCACCAACATCTGTTGTCATTCCAGATGGACCAACTCAGAGTAATCCGAAGCCGTTCCTAAACCCCCAAGACCATGTTGAACAGATACTTGATTCCCTTTCTCACACGAATATACTGCAAGAGATCCATACCGACACTAGTCGCATCAAGAGCAAACTCATGAAGCAAGTAGCACCGAGCTCACGTCGATAAATGTATACTGATTCATGTTACAGGCACCAAGAGATGGCGCTGGACTTTATCGCACAGCGAGAAAGCGGTCGGCCTTCCACGGAGCTTACCTTTTGGCGGGAAAGGCGTAAAAACGGTGAATCCTAGTATACTCTCCTGATGCTCTTGCCTGAGAGGATGTAGAGCTGATTACACGATAGTTTCCAGCATGTATTGACAAAGTCCGAAGCCTTTGAGCGTCGGGAAGCTAGAGGGGGTATCCTTGCAGATGACATGGGACTGGGCAAGTCATTGACGATGTTATCGGCCATTGCCAGCTCTCTCCCAGAAGCGGAAATGTTTGCGAAAGAGCCACCAGACGCACTGAGGCCCTCACGAGCGACCTTGATCGTCGTCCCTTCTACGAGTAATTGGATTCTGGGCTAAGGTCCACCGAGATCGGACGAGAAGCTGACTTCAGTAGCTTTGATCGATAATTGGATCGATGAGATTCACACGTAAGCCCTTCATTCCACGGCCATGGTCCAATCAACTGACACCCGCAGACACACGTATCCGCACAAAGTCACATTCCACAGACACCTCAGTGCGGAACGACATGCAGAAATACACCTTCTTTTCGATAGGGACGTTGTATTCACCACATATGCCACAGCCTTGGAAGACACCAAGAAGAACCCATCACCCTTGTCTCGAATTCACTGGTTTCGCATTGTACTAGACGAAGGTAGGACCTTTTTTGTCTGAGTATATCTCTCCTCGCTGACCAGATATTATGCAGCGCACAAGATACGGAATCAAAAAACCAGGATGTTCAAGGCAATCCAGGACCTTCCCGCGCATCGTCGTTGGTGTCTCACTGGAACGCCTATCCAGAATCGTCTCGAAGATTTGGGCAGCCTAGTTGCTTTCCTTCGACTCACAGAGCTAGCGCGTATATCAACTTTCCGCACCTGCGTCATCGCGCCAACGCTCACTGATCGGTTCACGAATTTGCAGACAGTACTGAGAACCATCTGTCTTCGGCGAACTCGAGAAATTCTTGGCCTACCTCGACCGATAGCCCTCCCACGATTGATCAAGTTCTCTGATGAGGAGCGCCGTCAGTATACCGATCTATATGAGCATTATAAGAGACAGGTGCAGATGGCCGTTAGTGGAAACGGCAAATTCGCTTCTACTACCCTTCAATCCATCCACAAATTGCGGATCTTTTGCAACAATGGCCCAAGAGGGACACGAGATGAACTGGTTGAGTCAGACGATGAGATGCTCTCTTACCTGGTGCAGCTTGCAGAGAATGTATGCGCCAAGTGTACGAACAGTGTCCTCTCTATCGACAAGGTGGAAGGTCGAGATCGAGGCAAGTTTATCCAGCCATGCAGACATCTTGTCTGTCACAGCTGTTGGCCTCAATGTGTGGCGAAAGGAAAAGGGACATATTGTCTACTTTGCGCATCGGGTCATTCTCCACCAGATTTTGCTACCCATATCGAGACACAAGGACTCTCTAGTGGGACGAGTGAATCTTTGCTCCCATACCCTTCCAAACTGTTAGCATTACTCGACGATATTAAGGGAGCGCCTAGGAACAAGTGGTGAGTTCCTCTAGCAGTGGTCAAGATACATCAGTTAACAGAATCGCCAGTATCGTCTTCTCTGCCTGGAAGAAAACCTTGGACCTCACAGCTAAGCTTCTTATTGAAGCTGGCTTGGAGAATGACATGATTTACGGAAGCTTAAGCTTGAAACAAAGACTTAAAGTGCTGAAAAATTCCAAATCTCCGTTCGGACCAAACATCCTCCTGATGACATTGGGTACTGGCGCAGAAGGGTTTGTAAACATACTGGAAGGAAAACGTCAAGCGCTAACATACTTAGGCTTAACCTGACCGTTGCGACACATATATACCTGCTCGAACCACAATGGAATCCTTTCGTTGAGTTGCAGGCAATGGCTAGAGCGCAACGTATCGGACAGACCAAGCAAGTGGTTTGCGTACGATATGTGACGGAAAGGACTATCGAGCAGGTTAGAGTAACTCGAGTTCAATCGGTTGCGGACGATGGCTAACATTATGATAGAGCGACGTATTGAATCGGCAAAAGACGAAGACAAGACTCGCTGGTGGAGGTTTCAAAGATCAGAACATGAACGATTCACTAGTGAGACAGCCAACCCGGCAAACTCTCAGATTTATGCTGACAGTTAACAGCAATTCTTTGGTGTTGATGCAACACACATGCAAAACAATGCTACGAGGTATCGACGTCGTGCCTGATACGGTATCCCTTTGAATCATTGGGGACTATCAAGCGCTTTAGTTCTCCTCGCCTTGAGAGCGGCAGGCGCAAGCCGTTGTCAGACATTCGCAGCACTTAGGCAACGAGAACATCCTCTTCTGATGGATCGAGATACTGCTGACTCCTGGCCTTGACCTGCAACAATCGTCGACCGTGTGCGCAGTTTCACAGGGTGATGTAGAGGACTTTGCGGGTCTTAGACAAAGCGACATAGTTTCCGCTAGGTTGCGTAGCTATCCATATATACCTAGGTAAAGATCGGTTGCTCTTTACAAATCTAGCTGCACATATCTGCTACCTTCGCCTCAAACTCAGCTTCGCTAAGTTCTCGCAACCCAACGAGTGAGTTGTCGGTATGCTTATAGTGTGAATTGTATTTCCCACTTAGCAATATTCCCTTGATAAAGGAGAAGATACTGGCCACGTCACCCTGCTCCCTTAACACACCTGCTCTCCTCCCCATTTCAGTCTCTGCATCCTCTATTTTGACAACAGACCACTTGGTCTCTGGCTTTGCGTACTTTTTGGCCATTTCCAAGTATTGTTCCTGAGACACTGCGTACTCGTGGACGAAGACGTTGCGGTTCTTTGTAGCCTCTAACTTCCTCAAAGCACTAGCGACAGCCCTGCTAGTAGCAGCCAAGCTCGTAGTGCTGACGAGAGCTTGGCCGTCGTCCCATATCTCTGCATGTTTGTGTTGCCAATCGATTAAGAGGTCAGACCCCAGGAACTCGGTGGAAGCTCCGACGGAAAGGATAGTGTATTTGATTGAGCGAGCGTCGGCTTTGGCGTGGAGGTGGTTTTGGATATCAATCATCCCGCGATGGTAGGGGAAGTGGCCGGCATTTGGATCCGTAGTCAAGGCTCCGAAGTCAGATGGTATAAAGCGCTTGACGCCGGCCTTGATGGCAGCATCGATAACCAACTTCTGACCGGGGATAGCTTTCATACCGACAGTCGACACTATTGCATCTTGGCCACGGAAAGCAGCTTCGAGGCTGTCAATAGAGTTGTGATCGACAACTGCAAATTTAACCCCGGCTGGAAGACCATCTTTCTTGTTCACTGATCTACCGAGATGGATCACTTTGAAACCAGCATCGACGAGAGCCGGAAGGACACTAGATCCAAGTAGGCCCTTCTAGAGACGGAAGTCAGTGGAGATCTAGACAAATGTCCTATTACCACGGACACTTACGCCGAGAAGTACCACGCTTTCAACAGTGCTATTCTGAAGATGGAAGGGAATCATTTGGGATAAGAGGAGGTCTTTGTTCGTTTAAGCAGCATACGAGATATTGATGTCGGGTATACCTATATAGTACATTTCTTGATATGTAATTTGAGCATGGGGCTCATGTTTCGATGCACGGAGCTGCAGAGCAAGTCCGCATTTGAAATCATCTTGCACTCATGTTTGTAAGCTTAATCGGGAGATTACTGCATAAGGGAAACTGGGAAAGAATACATCCGTTTTGTATCCGCCGTATAAGCCGATTGCTAATACATGTATTAGAGGCAGATGCACAGACGTGGAACTAGTGACCTGCAACCAATCGCCTGTTTTCTACTGTGCGGACTATACCAGATATCCTTGCTGCGCCGCCGCTCCGTTACGGATGCAGCGATCGAAGATGCGGGACTCAGAGCAGCAGATAAGAGGGCTATATCCGCGGAACTTGTGAAGCTAAAGACGAGACGTTTGACAGGCCAGTAGGAAAAGGGTAGGTATAGTAAAGCAACAGTGGGCAGCTGTGATTGTGACAGAGATCGCTCAATATAATGGGCTTTACAGTTTAAAAGCCGATGCGGATTCCAGCAAACTATGGACTGAACTCTTCTACACACTCTTAAACAGAGTGTTAATCTCTTCAATAGTGGCGTTGACATACTCCTCCTTGTCATAAAAGTCGATATGGTAGGCATTGGGCCAAATGACCCGCTTGAGACCCTTGTTCTTGCCGCTGAGAAGTTTAAAGAGCCTGTCAGCATGCCACTTATTCGCTGACTCCTCACCAACAACAATCAACAAAGGTTGCGTAAGGAGAACATCTGCAAATCCCCATGCATCCCAGCCCATAACGAAGGGGACAGAACGAAGAGCCATTTTGTTCTGAGAGTTGGGATGTTGTCCTCGTGATGTGAAATAGTACTCGTGTGTATCCAGCGTATCGCGACCTGGGTTGTCGCCCTTGGGCGGGATGATAGGAATAGTGATCGCTTCATTGGTTTGAGCCTCGGACTGGATCCCGAGCGCGATCTGATCAAGGGCCGCAGCTGCATGTGCAGGGTCTCCTTTTCCATCAATGCCAAGACGGGCGCCATCGCCTCCGTTAACAGGACTGACGATGGCAACAGCCTTGAAACGGTGGTCACCCTTCGCTGCAGCTACAGCGTATCCCCCACCTGCGCAGACGCCAACTACAAAGAGGCGACTAGCATCCACGTCATCCAGTCGTTCAAGATAGTCCGCCACAGCAGACACGTCTGATGTTCTCACTGCAGGGTCTTCAAGGTGGCGGGGAAGACCTTCCGAATCACCCTGATGGGCTGCATCGTACGCAATTGCGATGTAACCCTGTTCGGATAGCTTTTTGGCGTAGATGCTGGCGCTTTGCTCTTTAACACCTCCGCCTGGGTGGATGACGACAACTCCCGGAGCTTTTCCCGAGATAGAGACTGGCTTGAAGAGCAGTCCGGCGAGCTTGATACAGCCCTTTGGAATACTGATCTTCGACATTTGGATCGAGTTTTAGGTAACTTTGCTTTGCTGGTGAGGAAGAAAGATGAGGATGAAAAATGTGAAGAGAAGGAAGGTAGTTGGGTACTTAAAGCTTCTGCAACTTCTATATCATATCCAAGGGGAACAAGGTTTTATCATTCTTAATAGCAGGAGGAAAGTTAGTGTACGGACGAAAGTGATGATGTCTTTTATCGATCTGATAGCAGTTCGAGCGAGATTCCGGATCAGTCAATTCCAGCATCCTTCCAGCGAGAACATTGAGGTGCCTTAGCCAAATTGGGCAAGCTCGGTTTTATGCGGAGAAGCCATGTTCGATCTATACCTAGGCATGCGCTACGGGACAGATCCCGATAGTCAGTTAGCTTAACATTATGGATGCCAAGGCAGGCTCTGCTTGATTTTCTTTTTGATTGGGTTTTCCACCCGGAGATAAGATGTATCCTACTGCGGACGAACCACGGTCTGCCTAGGTAAGCTAGCTGGAAGCGGACTAGTGCTCAAAATGGAGACTGATGTTTGCGGACGAACCAGGATCAAAGCGAACACAACATGGACTTCTTGCAACGGCGTTTGCTTTTATCCACGAAGTCTCTCAAATAGAGCATATTTTCCAACACCTTATATTGTTAAGGTTGTCCTTTGACATTCACAAACCTTAGAGTTACTTCATTCCTTGTCCCGAGCATCGATCCCAGTTAAAAGATACCACAATGCATCTTATCCTTACTGGTGCTACTGGCCTAGTTGGTGCCGCAGTGCTCGACAACATGCTTGCGCAACAGTCGATAAGTCGTATCTCTATACTCAGTCGACGTCCAGTTGCGATGGCAGAAGGACACGACAAGGCCAAAGTGATCATACACAACGATTTTGGAGTTTACAGCGAAACGCTGCTGGATGAGTTGCGCGACGCAAAAGGATGTGTATGGGCACTGGGTGTCAGCCAGAACGACGTCGACAAGGAGTAAGTGGAATACGAACGTCGAGTTACGACGCTCATCGTGGCCTTACTGTGTTCGATGTGTTAATTGTAAAGTGCAGGAAATATATCGAGATAACGCATAATTATACACTTGAGGCTGCCAAGGCTTTCTCGACTTTGCACCCAGACTCACCTTTCACCTTTGTGTACGTCTCTGGCGAAGGCGCGACTCAATCACCAGGGATGTTCACTCCGTTGTTCGGACGTGTGAAAGGGCAGATAGAATCAGCACTGCTCCAACTACACAAGGATCGCCCTCAGTTCAAAGCTTACAATATACGCCCTGCAGCTGTTGATTGGAGAGAACATACTGAAATCCATGATTTCATTCCCAAGCAACCATATACCAAGAACGTATTGTTTTCTGCTATCAACGCTGTATCCAAGAGTTGGATGACGCCTACAAAACCTATGGGCAAGATTATGACCGAACTTGCGATGTCGTCTGGCGCTCCTATGCATGACAGCGACATGGGAATGGAGGGACGACTTATATCCAATATAGCTTTCAGGAGAATGGCTGGTCTTTAGTTGAGGTTGTTTCACGACCTAAAACCTGTTGGTATCTTAATCATGCAACATTATATAAGGCAGAGCTTAGATAGCGACCTCGGCACGGCTCTTGTTGGAGTGTACGAGTCATCGATCGATTCTACGGATTACTTCTCTATGTAGGTAGTACACTAGTGCACGTGGTAGGCACCAATAACAACATGAGATGGCTCTTTTTCCAGCTCTCTTACTTGCGGTCTTGAGAACCGTTAAGCCTGTTCCGGAACTAGCACCTTCCGTTCATTACTGCCTCAATGTCTTTGATGACATTCTCGATTGGTGTCATGTAGTCAACTGATTTGTGCTCATGACCGAACAAGATGCTGACCCACCAATTATCACCTCTATGGGCTGGTGGATATTCCGGGTCCAATAAGTCCGCGCTACCCGAGTCGCCACTCAAGCATGGGTCACAGCGCCTGTATCCAATTCGTGGTACAAAAGACCAGCAGTAACCGGGTTTCTCTCTGCTGACTTTGTATCGACCGTCGAGTTCGCCCATATTGCCGCTTGGTCTACCCTTGCCGCAGTAGATGGGATTCAAGAGTGATTGTGTGCAGTTTAAATCGGCAAACTCCCAGCCGCTTGTTCGTCCATGGAATGCGATTTCGCACTCGAGTTCCCGTGGGTTGGGGATGCGGTAGTAGTTCGCACTCTCCATATCATCTACGCGCGTTTTGCCCTTGATCCCACCCGTTAGTTTGGTGTGCTTGGGATCTTCTGAGTTGTTGGACCACTCCAGCTTGGGGTCGATCTTGATAGCCGCCCAGTCCATGGGCCACGTTACAGTTGGATTCTTCACAGTATCCGTTACGGCGTTGCCCCCGATTCTGGGAGCTTCTAGCAGACATGCTCCTGACGCGGCCGCCAAAGTTCCTGTCTTGATGTCGTGTTCATCCACGATGTTCTGCTCTGCTTGCCGTCTTGTCGCCAAGGTCTTGTACCTGGAGATCTGGTCGGGGAGCCAAGCCTTCCTCAACACAGCTGTCTCTCCTTTTGAACCATCTTCCAGATCTTGTAGATCCTGTATCACTTGTTCAAGTGCCTCTCTGGCCGGTTTTAGGACGGCGGTGATATGAGCCTTTACTTTGTTGTGGTCTTCTCGTGATAGGCATTTGTTGATTCTCTGGCAGATTGTGCGGCGTCAAAGGTTTGTGCCCATCGCTCTCTGTGCGTGGATGTCAGTGGGAGCCCTCGTGTGAACTAAACGAACTTCACTTACCGGCGCTCAGATTGGTGCGTTCGTCCACGGCGGCGTGGTAAGCCGTTATTCCGTACGTCGTCTCGCCCTTCTCTCCATCATGTTAAAACGTGAAGAAGCCACCCAATGTGCCTCCGCCCTCTTTTTTTTTTTGCCATAGCACTCCGGGGAAGAATGTGTTCTTCGATGTTACCGTCGTTGAAGGCTTGGTCTCGAAAAACACTCGTCTAGCTTTGCGGAAGATGACTGCCTTGGCTTCATCAACGAGACCAATCTGGGCAGCGTTCTCGAGGTTTGGGGCTTCGAGGGGATTCTGAACAAAAGTGCGAGCTTGATTTTTGGGTGGCGGACGACCTCTGGAGCGCTATGCGTTGTCGTCCATGGTCTAGTGCAAGGATATATGGACGTGGGTAAGAATTCCCAGGTTGCGACTGAGCGTAGTTACTCAGGCGGGTAGTCGTGTGAACACTTGAGCCATGTGGGTCGGATGTTTAGACGCTAAGAAAGCGCTACCATGACTAAGGAAGGTAAGAGAGAACAACCAGAACACCGTGAGAGCAGGCGTGTGTGATGTACTGAGCAGGCAAAATAAAAAGATCAAAAACATACAACAGCGGGGATTCGCTAGTGGTCACCCACCTAACTACTAATCCGCCGGTACACTGCTTGTATATGGCTGAGCGGACGGGAAGCCTAATTTTCAGTGTCCTATGGTCGTATGTATTAGAACAACTAAAACATCAATTTATCAAGAGCGTCATCGGCGAGCAGCGCCGCATGGGTATCGCTCTATCTAGGTACATGAGATGTGTAGACCTTGACACCTTAAATCTTCCCATACTCAAGTTACGGTTGCCAACCATGCCATGTAATATGACTGCATGACACACAAAGACTCGCATGCCTGAAGAAAGTCGTTCCGTCCACTCAAGTCCGGTAGATTGTACCTGATTTTCCAGGATGAGCCTCGTGAGCCTCGGTAACACCATCATTGCAACATCACACCCTTGCATGTCGCGACCCCAACTATTTCGTCATGCCCTAGCCCATCTCCTTTCTAGAAACCTTGAAGCCTCGAAACGGCATGAAAGCCGTTTAGTTGGGGTACGGCTGCACGCTTCCGCTAATTCTCCGATCTACAGATCTCTAGTCAGACACAACACCGGGTAAATTTGAATACTAGATCAACAGGGCCGAATTCTCGGCGAATTAGAGAGTGTTCTGTAGTGACCCTAAGATGAGAAGAGGTAAGCTGTGACGGCGTAGCGTATAGCACTTGCACTCCAAAGGGCAAGAGCGTACGTCTTGACATTGACATAAGGTAATGGCCAGCTTTACGGTGAGGGTCAATTAGATGAGTGGAGATCTGCGTTGAATCGCCGTTGAAGTAGCCCATAAAATACCTTGTTCCAGCCATTTGACTCCCGTTCATAGCATCTGGACAGTCCATGAGATACGATCAGCACTGCAGTCATCACCAACGCTGATAATCCACTACTTACAAACCCATAACACAACATGTATTTCCTTAGTCTCTGTTTCACTGCTCTCTTAACGATCGGGGTCTCTGCATCTCCTACCCTGGACAAACGCGCAATATCTTGCCTCAAGGTCGGCGCCACAGCAACAGCATCATGGACCAATGCAGCCGGCCAGTCATGTCGCTGGACCGGCGTTGTAGGCAGCAACTTTGGAGCGAACAGCGTGAATGGTGGAGAGTACGCAGTCCAACCTCTCATATTCCTCCATGTAATATCTAACATACTCCACAGGTACAGCTGTAATGGCCGCTGCGGAGCAGGCTGCTCAGGAACCGCAATAGGCAACGTGTATACACAGGATTGCTTCTCGCACGATGTGTGTTCGTGGTTCAACAATGCTAGTGGTGGCGCGAGGTAAGTTGTCCTGGAGGAAGTGGCAATGAAAGGATCCTCTTGCTAATACGGTGTCCAGCGATCCGAACTGCGGTGCTGCGTACAATGCTGCGGTTGATGATACAGTTGGTGGCGCTATAGCAGGCTGTGGACAAACGAATCCTTCGAATGCTGCTGTAAAGCCAAGTACAAACCCAACGTGCTCGTAGGGTGGCAAGGGTAATTACGTCTCTGCTGTCAATAGTTGTACGATCGTCACATGGTTATCTACGTTACAGTAACCGAGAGTAGTGATAATCTCAATGATAAAACAGATTTGGATAAGAAATTCGAGCACACTCAGCTCGCTCTATCGGCCGCTCGCAGCTTGATCTTCTTATTTCTTCTTGTCTTTTTTCCCTTCATTCGACTCGCTTGTGAGCTAGGATTGATTTTTATCCCCTCATGGCCTGCTACTGGAGCTGCAGGTCGATTGCCTCTGGTTCCAGTGAGGTGCTCGAGATTATTGAGCAAAGTGATATTCTCCGGAGAAGGGTTGTCCTCTGCGTGAGCCCTGAATGATTTCAAAACATGTGTCGGACCTAGGATAAAGTCTTTCCAAGCTTGCACTGATCTTTGCCATAACGACTGCGGTGCGTCCACTGCGCTCAAGAGTACCTTCAGTAGCCGAGCAGCCTCCAATATCGAGTAATGGTCAGCTTTCATATCCGTACACCATACCAACGCTTGTTGCCACAAGCTGGTACTGAATGCTATAGATTCTGGACCCCAGACATTCCGCAGGAGGTATGATAGCAACTCTGTTGCATTGCCGAGAGACCCACTATTGTTCAGGGCGCGAAACAGTCTCTTCCTCCATATAAGCAACGCATTTAGGACGATCACGAACCGTTCCTCATCCCCAACACCGAAGGGCAGCAGACGTAGATGAGCCAGTATGCCTCGCCTAGCCGCAAAGGTATGAATACTCTTATGTTCCTCGACAGCCAAGGCCGATTCGACCGGTTCTACGTCATGCGGTTCGGCAGACCAGTGTAAGGTGCGGACCCGAGATCTACCATCGTAGGGGCGACGTGACCTTTGTTGAAACCTTGACATGATGTGATCCATCTCGTAAACATACTTTTGGGTGGTTTGAGGCTCAGTGGTCGTAGCTCGCTGACAAAAGCTCGCTGTGGTTTCTAGATACCATTTCAGCCCATCGTCGTCATATTGACTGGCTAACTTCATCGTAGACAAGCATGCAGATGTAAGGCTGGATGTAGAATCTAAAGCCATATCATTCGTTAGCTCACAGACCTCCTGCCAGACTTCAGTCGTTGCAATAAACTCGGCGACCGTTCTATGCAGATATGTGACCACACCGCGATTTATCTTGTCAATAGTGATGTATTGAGTGGTTGCCCACCCAGCGACTGTCTCCTTGTCATCGTTGTAGCGAACTTCGAGGAGGCCACAGCAACGGCTGCGAATGCGTTTTTCCAAAGTTTCCATGATCCAACTGAATGTCTCACCGGTCATCGGAGCAATTGATGCTTGAAAGACTTCTGTGGGCGAGCGTATGGCGTACGATAAGACCACGCCAGGAAGGGGTTGAATATTTATACAACGGCGCCACCGGTCAAGTAGCTGGAAGATTACTGCCGCCTGCTTCTGGTACTCGAGCTTCATTTTCCCAAACATGTTCTTATACAGATCTCTGAGGTCGGAAGGAAGCAACGTCAATTTGGCATGTAGCTCCTCAAGATTGTCTCCATTTTGGAGGCCGTCGACTAGCAGACGAACAACAAGCTTGATCCAGAGGAACACACCCTCTGCTTTATCGAGTAAATCTTCGATCAACTGCGGAGCTCTTTCTGGAAATTGCTCCATCAGGCGGCCCATGGAGTAGTTAGATGAAAGCTCCCCGTGCACAAACCTCTCCATATCCGGTCGTGTGAGCTCTTGCAGGCGTAGGGTGGGGCACCCCGCCAGCACATCCAAGCAGGCGTTTACAGGACGGCTCGAGACAATCAGTTTCACGTGTGGTGATGCCAGCGATCGTAGGAAGAGCGCCATGTCGCGGTGGTTGCCGTCAAATTCGTCGATACCATCTATGAAGATTGCTAGTTTCAGAAAATGGGACTTCTCGATTAGTCTTTCAAAAGCTTCCTTCACCTCGACGTATTGGGGCTCGATATCCGCATCTGATGCTTTCCAATTTCGATACAGTCTTGGGAAGACAGCTGGCACCAACTCCGGATGTTCGTCGAGTACCGTATGGAGTAGAGCTCTCAGCATTCCGACATGAGTCTTCTGAAGGGTAGTCCCAAGATCCCAGAAGAAGAAATGCAACTTCATCAGCTCGCTCGTTCCTGCCCATTTCTTCAACGCTGTTCCCGTACTTGAGTGGCCGTAGAGGGACTTCATGAGGGTAGACTTGCCACTGCCAGCCTTCCCACTGATGAAGTATGGCTCACCCGTGTCTTGTTGTAAGTACTTTGGAAAGTCCGACCAACGATTGTGCATGATTGGCGAGTCGTAAATCCACTCATACGTCCTTTGGTACGCTGTCGCAACACTCTTGTAGCGCCAGAAGATCTGCCGGAAGTCCAACCATCTAAGGACTCTACTCTCTAGACTTCGTGACTTTTCCTCTGGAGTACGCTCGCTACGTAGACTACTGATCTCATCTAGACACAACCGAATCTCGTCCTGAATGACATCAAGCTTGCCACTCGCTTGATCCTGTATGGCGTCCGCGAGAGTTTCTACTGCTGTGCGAATGTCTGTTTCATCCAAATTCCGAGCTTTATGGTCCTGCTGTATCGCTTTCAAGTGCCCAAGGATCTCATCGTTTCTGCTCTCGGAACTTGTGCGGAGCGCTAGTACAGTGCCCAACGTGAGGGAGCCGCGAAGCTTGTCGAGTTTAACAGCAAAATCATCAATCTTATGTGAACTCCATTGAAATTTGATGGCCTTCTTCGCGCTCTGCAAGAGTTTCGAAGAGGAGTGGCTCTTAAAGCTCTCAAGATAAGTGATGAACTGTGTTCCAGCCTCTTCGCATTCTGCTGCAAGATCGAGAAGATTCTGTGTGACGCAATTAGCGAATGCGATACGACCACAGAGACATTGACTCGCCTGGTCCTCATCCTTCAGCGTCGCACTGCATGCTTTTAGGCGTGTCCTTAGCACAGCAGCTTGGTCAGTAAGTGTTTTTGAGAGGCTCCGTAGTTGCGGAAGTGGTGAGGGGCTACCGTTTCTCCGTATCGCGTTGGCCTCGGCGATTAGGGTGCCAGCGCCTTGGAGAAACTGGACTACGTTGCCTGCCAATCCGACCGCAACAAGCGCTTCCATCGTGGCGATCCTCGTGCAGTGACGGTAGAGAGAGAAGATATGGGCATTGTCGCTCTCAAATGATGGTTGACTACAGTGGGCTGAGGCTGAGGTCTCACAGCTGCTTAGCCGAAGATGCCTTGCAGCCTGACCAAGTGAGCCTGGTGGTGGCGATGCACTGATCTTTAGTTTTACATGGTCGTACGTGGCATAGAACCAAATCTCCATGTACTTGCACTCAGCCCAGAATGTCTGATCGCTTCTGATTGACCGCGCAACCACCGACCATGAGGCACATATAGCATAACGAATGGTAACGGCGCTCACAGCGACAGCGTTGTTTGGAAAATCCCGTACTTTTTTGCAACTTCGCGATACTTGGAACATGCACCAACTTCGAGTGACTCAATATCTCTGGTCGCTCCATGAAACAAATCAATCTTGGATTAATCGCGACGCAGTAAAAGTTGGGATGGAATGAATGTTTTGATGTTCGAGTGGCTGACAGAGCGCACTGGCTCACCTGGCGCACAGGCACTGGGTCGCGTCATGAACTGCACGTCCCAGCTCCCTCTACCGGCATTGCCATATACACGACGACGTGCCTGGAGGTATATACGAAATGACAGATTCAACCTCGAGCCTGAAACAACACTGTAAGACCAGCCGACGCGGCCATAGCTACACATCCACCGGCCTTTCGTGAGCTTATCGCAGCTGCTAACCCAGACGCTGGCGGTGCTCTTGGACGTCTCATCACAGCGGTGCGCGATACCTTATGCGCCTGTACGACTATATACGGCCGCGGGTCGTCGGGGGGTTGTTGGACGCGCTCAGTAAAACACACATCAGCTTTGACGGTTGCGCGACAAAGGGCGGCAAGCGTGAGTTCCCGGGTATCGTTGCCCACTACGTTAAAAAGCATGGCGATTTGACGGATCTACCTATTGCCCTGCCGCAGTTTGCAGGTTCTCAGTGACTAGACTATCGCTGAGGTGATATGACAAAAGCTGCAGCAGTCCAACATCGACGAGCGTAGGATAGATTACGTAGTACTCGACAACGCGAACAATAACGTTACGGCGGTAGATGAGATCATAGAAAAGATGGGCTTCCACGTAGGCCACGATCGCCCTCGCTACGGCCCTCACATTTATCGATCAGGCCCTGCCATAGGCCAAGAATCCGAGCTTTTACAATAATAACGCAAGCGGGCTGTCTGCCAACGCGCCGGCAGACGCGCGCAAGGTCTTCCAATCCGTCAAGCCCATCACAACACACCAAAACCCATATTACATGTGCTTTGAGCGCGTTGTAAAGCTACATAAGTGCGAGAGCAGGATCTATACGCGATGAGTCGCAACAACAAAAGCCTTGAAGAGCAGGCGTGAATGCGGACCAACGGCCTCAGCGTCCACGATTGGGCAATCATTACAATGTACATGGACGCGCCGAAGTCGCTGGAAACAGCTACAAGACGCATGGAAGGACGTAGTACGCAAGACAGCTTTGTGGCTATTACTGAGATTATGCTAGTATTCGGGTTAGTATTTGACTGCTGCGAGGAGCGCGTTGACAGCTACGGAGCTGTCAACCATAACGCGCACGACGAGGCGCCCGAGGATCGCTTTAGTACCAACCTCGACGCAGCGTGGATAACGGCTAACAACTACCATGACAAGCCTGATGATACCGCCATCTATTACACCGTTACACTACTCCACCCGTACTACGCGACCTAATGCGAGCAAGCGTGGACTGATAAACTTGATTGGCTCCAGGCCAACAACCGCAAGTTTCGCGCCTGGTGGACTAGCGTCGGTCAGATGTGAACAAATGCACCCGAGATTGTGCCGTCTAGAGGAGGCACAGAGCGATTATAGGCATGTAACGCAGTCATATAATACTGTCCCCGGACATGAGCCGATGGGTTCATGAGGGTGGTCTGACAATATGGTAGTAACGGTTGGAAGAAATGAGTGTTCTATTATTATGATTAACTACATAGTTTCCTGAAATGCACCTAATCGCCGTGATGTTTAGGCTGTGTGCAAGTAGCGGGCTTCGGCATGTTTTGGTCCCCATCGGACCCCGACGTCCACTTGTCAAATTCGTCTGCGAAACTTCCCGAACCTGTGCATAAGGCTCTACAACGCGAAGCCAGGGTTCCACATAAGTTGATAACTATCCTATTATTTGTTAATCCCAGAGCTGCAATCCACTTTCCATGCGCGCAAGACCTGACTTATACACCTATACCTTACTCTGGACACTATGACGAGCAGCTTCAACATCGAACCTCTGGCCCATCCCGAAGGGAAGACATGCAAAGTACGAGTCATGGACCCTGTACAACACAACTGATATTTATAATCCATGCTTACGATACTTTCTCTAGTTTGGAGCTGTCATTACGGGTCTTGATCTGAACAACTTTACTGAAGAGATAGTGGCCGAGTTGGAGAAAGCGATCTGGGAGCATAAACTCGTAATTATCAAACGCCAACATGATCTCAAGCCGAAGCGTGCCTGGGAATTACTTCAAGCGCTCGATCCAGAAATGATCATTGAGGATGACGACAAATTGATGGACTTATTCCACCCTCACCAGTGGTTCAGGGTAAGTCAACAGCAGAATGAAACATGAACTTCGCAGCAGGCTGTAGCAGAGCGCTGATAATCATCAAGGACTCCTTCCAAGCTATCAAGGTTCCTGATGCGGGTTTGTTTTACTTTATTGGAAAAGGCCCCCAAGACGACCCGCGCTACGGTAAACCAGGCCTAGATATGGGTGACGCTAGCGTAAGCCATTACTACAGCGTACCGCTGTCGGACGAGGACTTCGAAGCTGGACGTACCCGTTTTCACGTGTGGTACATGAACGGAATGTATTGGCGACACGACCTTACAAAGTTCACTATTCTTCGACCCATCAAGTTTCCTACAGAAGGCCTGGATAAGCAAACTGTAGAATGGGCAGATGGCTCAGGCATGACTATGGAAGTAAAACCGGGACGTCAGGCGTTCCTGGACGTTGAACAACTGTACGACATGCTAAGTGATGAGGAAAAGAGAATGGCCGACCACAGTTGGGCGGAGTACAGCATCTTGCCATTTGAGAATCTCAAGGACTGCCATTATGCTCCAAACGGCCTAGGCGTGGTAACTGAGGGTAGGGAGCAGCCAGAGGAAGAGCTGCTAAAGTTGGGAGGGGCAAAGAAAGAATGGCAAAAGAAGGTATGTTTATACTCGAAGCTGCATCCATCAAACACTAATGCCGTGTAGTACCCGATGGTTTGGGTTAACCCCGTTACTGGCAAGAAGTCATTCATGTGTATACAGCACTTGATTCGGCGGTTATTTATCCGCAATGGCCCAGATGAGACTGCGAGAGTTATCGACGACCTGGGCGAAGTAAGGAAGTTCTTGGATAATATCTACACCAGAATTATCCTGCCTGAGCATATCTGGGTAGGCCCAGAGGACGAGCAGGACTTGGTTATCTTTGGGAGTCAAGGTCTGCTTCATTCGAACATCGACTATCCTGCTAGTTGGGGTGTTAGGACGATACACCAGGCCTTCATGCCCACAAAAAGGCCACCTGTAGGGCCAGTGCCCATTCCAGAGTTTCCAAAATAATAGAGAATCTGGCCCAGCCAAACGTAGCCTACCTCACCAGCGCTCGTGAGATTTGACTTGGAGTCGCGATGCAATAGAAACACGATTATATCTGTCACTTTAAGTACACCGAATTGAAATTACAGCTAGGAGATAGCCCTACCGCTTTTTTGGCAACCTTAACATGCGTTTTCGGTAGGCGTGAAACAGTTTCAGATCTCGCGGCGTTTGTCGCACGTCTGATGTCCTTCACATTAGCAAATCGCTCATTTGGGTCAGGTACAACTCGCTTTCTCTTGGCCCAACTATCGTGAGTTTCACGGCTTAGTGTTACAAGCTATTGGGTTCAGTCACTGACTACGTGGAACAAGTATTTATATACGCATGCAGCATAGTGGATTGCGTGAAGACGAAACAGTGCAAAGATTCCAATCTCTTCAGAAGCTCTACCACCTCTACCACCCCAGATAAACACCGCTCAATAAAGCTGGAGCCCAGTTGATAAACCCTCAATAATATCTCGACCACGTGCGCGAGCGCACAGCGGACGACAGTAAGCGTCTAAACGACGCTCATGCCAGACCTCTAAACCCTGGCCAAAGGTTAACCTGCGTGTTTACTAATCAATCTTCAGCACCTTAGCAGTCTTTGGGCATTTATGAAGTTCAATTCGTTATCTGATAGCTCCAAACCGACCTGGCGCTCTAATCTGCACAAACTAACACTCCCACTTCCTCCTTATCCTCCTGTATGGCTTGTCCATCCATCATACTATCTATGTAGCACTCGCTGACAAAGTGCCACATTCCCGACTCTTGTTGTCGCAGCACATATAGCGTACCACCCCCCAAAAAAACGAGAACCGCGTCTCCTGGTCTAGCACATGGAGGCGCAAGACCTAGTTGCCCACTCGTCGTTCTGCACATGCGCCTACCATTATGCACTTGTATCTGTAGACACTCCGTCATATATCTGCATAGGTTTTCCACACCTGTTCGATCTTTGGGCGGAACCCTGGAGCGGTCTTCGTCCGACGAGTCGATACGAGCTTCTCGTGAAAGTGTATCGCCGAAAACAGTACGCCACCAAACACTCAACGCGGCGGAATCGGCAGCACCGGATGCGGTTGCCCGGCGCTCAAGTTGGTGTTGCTCGGATCTCGCAGTTCGCTGCTTGAGCGGGGCTTTCATATCTTTGAATCCTCCAATGGCGACCCAGTCTTCTGGCCAAATACTGTTCCCATGATCAAAATTGGCCAAGCTGCCAACTGTGCCGACCTCAGTGACATATATCCCTCGTGCGCAAAAAGTGGTATCCTCCTTCTCGAGGCAGAGATCTATCTTCTGCTTCGTATTGTCGGCCGCATGATAGAATGTATCCCAAATGAGGCGTTGTGGCTGGGATGAGTTCGCGAAGGGGATTGGCCGGACAAATCTCGTTGATAAGAAAAGTCAATACACCAACGGGGTATACTGTGCTGGTTGGGGAAGATTGAACTATCTTGCGCATAGTTTCCCCATGCCCAGGATAAGAAATCCAATTTGCGGCTCCGGTGTTGGACAATCTCGACGACTTTGAGGAACAGGTCCCGTGGTGAGAGACTGTAGTCGACGGGCAAGATTGGGGTATCGAAGAGACCGATGATACCGTAAACGTAGTCGAGGGGATTGGACGCGAGGGGCCCATTGCAAATCTGACATTGCAGTAACGGCTGAAATTTGTCCGCAGTCAAAGGAACTAGAGGCGGTAGGTGACCCATATTATAAACGTTGTTCGAGATGGCGTCAAACTTCTGCATCATTGACCCTTCCCATCCGGCATCGGGATGTAGCTCACGCCATTTTGAGAGGACCTCAAAACGTATGTTGTCCCATTCCGAGAGAAAGCTCACAGCAATCTGCTGCTTACTGGAGCTGGCGCCAAACTTCAACAGCACGTTTGGGTTGATAGCCGTCTCCTGCAGGATCCAGACTCTCGTCCAGTAATGTTTATCGAGCAGTGAGATTAGAGACTCCCAAGCAGAAGTATAATTGGCATCCTCTAGATACGACTGAGAGTCTTCCTCTATCAGCTTTTGTAGAAGCGCGAATTCAATGCCAAAATCTGGTGACGTTTGGCCTAGCCAACCTACCACTTCGAATGCGCTGCGATAGATTGATGCCATCTTCTGTATCTGCGCATTGCGCTCTAGGATGTTGTTCTGATCGATGCAACTGGCGTCAATCCAAAGACTGATCGGCTCAGCCTGGTCGCGTAAACTGCGAAGGACGTTGAAGAGATTGTCGGCAACACCAAACGGTCGACCTTATATCTGGATACTATGAACATGCAAAGGGTTTCCCCAAACGTACGATACGGCTGTGTATTTGTAGGACTCACGCGAGACATGTTGGAGGTCACCCAAGATCGGGTCGTCGAGTTGCTCCGCTGGACGCAGAACGAAAGTTCGGATGGCACCTGGAGTGTTTTCAAGGGCTTCATATTCATAATTCATGATGATAAGGTGTAGTACTCCATTCGCCGGTCTGGGCAAGGGAGAAGAGGTCAACACACACCGGAGTTGCGCAGCCTTGTGTAGCAACCGAGTCAGCCTTGTAGGGCCGGTTGCCGCCACAAGGCAAACTAAGCCCAAGACATGCATGCCTTATCAGATGATGAGGTAAAAGGCACGTCTGCCAGTCATTTCAGATGTAGACACACCTACAAGTACTCAATACTGCCTAAGGAAGACACATTGGCCCCGCAGGGCAAACGCCAATCTGTGAAAACGAATGACGGGGCGTTGTGTATTGCGGATGTGGGGTCGCACGCGCGATCCTGTGCGGATAGCACCATAAGGCGTATAGAGGGCTGAGTGAGGTCGAAGCGATGAGATTCATTACCTACATATCTGCAGTCCTTGGCTTCTGAGACCTTGCAGGTGGTGCAGGACATAAGCCGAGGATGTCAATACGACCACGTTATAGCCTGTGTGAGACTCTGGGAGAGAGAAGAACTGCCGCTGACCATGCGTGTTGTGGATGGACAAGTGTCAAGGTGTTCATGGTGGATGAAATACGTCCCGACGTGTGGTGGAGGAGTGAGCGAGCTTCCGCGGCCTCAAGATTCCAGTCTGGGTATCGAGGTGGAGGTAGCCCCACGCTGGCCACACTGTCGCTACTTACCAGCTTCCACAACAACAGTCGCATCACAACACCTGCGCCTCACTAGCAAAGGCAAAGCTATGACCATAGTACGCGAAGACTCGGTGACAGTATTTGTAAATTCTCGCGAAGTTGCCATAGAGCCGACGACACGATGATCTTGTGGATGCATAACTCTCCAAGCTGTCCGGCGCTGTCCAAGTGGACCTGATATAGAACGTAATCCGCATATCCTGTATCGCGTGCGAAAGAAATAATAATGAAATTATAGATAAGTTTGGCTCACAACTAACTGCATTTAGTAGATGTATTCTGAATATCTACACAGCTTTGTTATTGATAGTCTGGTCTGCAGCGGGATGGGTCCTCAGTCTTCCATTGTCAAAGGTCGACATATTCCGCTTATATTGGCGAGAAAGGACGGTTTGAGCTCCCACTTTAAATGGTCAGTCTGCATATACGGTTCCAGCAATATCCAGGCTTTCCATTTCTGGAAAACCTTGAGGGCATGTCCCTTAGAGACACAAAACAAATCTTGGTGGTAATAAATACAGCCGGGACATTTTATACACATCCTGTAATTCTCAAGTTCCGTAGATATAAGTTGTGCCACTTGAGACGCGAACGGGACTACCATCTTCGTCCCTTTATATAGCTCCTGGTCGAACATATGCTCTATTCCACATCTACGATTCATGGCTTGTACGCGGTACTTGACGTTCGAAGTATAGCCAATCTTTAAGATTTGGGGAGAGTCTTTGCGCCAGAACATATATATTGACATCTGAACGGGGACACGAGATCGTTGTATCATTCTACGAAGAGCAGAATCGACTGTGAGATCTCTGAGGACACGAGGTTGATAGGGTTGGACGCTGGCATTTTGTGACTGGATATGGACCATCTTGAAGCTTTCGATACCTTCGTTGACAAGGGAGGGTAACCCGGCTTCGACATAATTTGGCGATGATGTTGATGAGCTAGAAGACACATTTTCCTCTATTTCGAACGCATCTCGTTCCAAAAATTTACTTGATGTGGCTTTGTGGACGCGCTTTGCGTTTGATAGCATGTCCAGAGTGTTGAACTTTTGCAAAGTCCAGCTCAAACCGCAGACGGTGCTTCTAGTAGTTAGTATGAGCTTACTCAAAAGACTTGAAACATACCATTCGGAAAGGTCTTTTGTGTACATGTCAGTCCTAATGTTTTCGCATCGAGGACATGCGACGCCTTCATCATCGTAACTGTCCAGTTGAATCGACATGGCTATCTTGGAGCCTGGACGGACAGCACTATCCCAGTTATCTTTGGTGAGAAACTCGTCGAAACGTTTCCGCCGAAATATGCGGAATTGTTCTAGAAGCACCTTTTGCTCGCCTGGAACGTTCTTAAATTCGCATCGCAAGCGTGCCATGAATACCGCATGGTGTCGAAAATGTACGTATGGAAGATGTACTATGCGACCCAAAGCATCTTCAAACAGTATGCTGTCTGAGATGGGGATAGAGATGAGAAGAGGAAGTACTCTCAGAGTTCTGAGGATGTGCTGGATAACTGGCAGAGCGATGCACAGCTTCATTAACAGAGCATTTACTCCAGCTCCGAAGAAGCTCAGCATGGTCTGGATAGATTGCCGGATGGTATGTTGGGCACTCTGTATCATACCGTTGCTCTTGATTCCAGGTAGTGGGTCTGCCGACTGAGGATTCATATCTCTCTTCTCGAGTCGCTGCAGTAGGCGGGTTTGTGCGGCGAGTTGATGTTCAACTCTCTGCATCGCGGTACTATCCTGAAACGATGACCTAGGATCGGCAGGTATGAGCGGTCTGAACACTGGGCTTGGCATTGCCGTGTTCTGGGTTGTGCTTATTGTTGATCGAGCTAGATGTTCTTTGACATTAGCATCGAGTAGTTTGATCGATTCTAATACCTGCTGCGAGAGACCCGTGTCGAAACGACCCGTATGATTCTCCATGTATTTGCGGATAGTGTCCATTTGTGCATCGCAATCGTTTACAGTTTCTAGGCGCATGTCTCGGAGGGTCTGCGCAATGTTTTCCACAGATGTCGTTGTAGCAAGAGAGTCTAATCGTGCACCGAGGTGGTTTTGGAAACTGGTCATCTCGGAGTTGAGATCGTCCAAGGGCTGCAGAGAGGTCTCAAGTGGAGATCCAGCTTTCTCTTGCCGTTCGCTAGAAGCAGTCAATTTTAGCCTACTTCAGTCTTCACGGAACTTGTGGTACATACAAGTTGATTAGAAGTAATTGCATGTTGATCGCGTTAATCGAAAACCCCATGGCAGCAGTAAGCTCTGATACCTCTTTTTTAATTTGAACACCCCATTTTACCTTGCATGCAGCTCTTTTAGCCCGGTCGAAGACAAAATCACTTTTCGTACCGAGATTCCTGAGGCTGGGCTCCATGGTTTTGATCTTTGAGAAAAACTTGTTTAGCGGGATGTAACATTGATGTCCAAGTAACTGTAACGTTTCGAGCTGTTGAGGATCAACATCTGCAGAATAGGCACTTTGCACACTTCGCAGTAGTCCCTCAAGGCCTTGTAGCTGACCAATAGTCTGATTGTACTGCGAGCTCGCACCATCCGTTTCGCGTAAAGCTGTACTGATCTTATGAACCAGGTGGATTGCCGCCATAAAATCACCCGCAGAGAATCCGAACGGAACGGCCATGATCCAGATAGAGATAAGTATATTGATGTGATGACGACGGAATGACGATAAGAATGTAGAAGCGATATGGATTGTGGGTAACTAGTCTTGGAAGTTAGCATACACCTGGAACCAACAACTGCCCTCATACTTTAATGTTATATGAGATGAAAGGAGGCCTGGAGGCGATGCGCGAGGCTGACAGCTCCGTGACTGTGCCACAATCGTGCATTGAGCGCACGGGCACGGTACAGCGGCTCGTATCTTGCTTTTTTGTCGCGGACAGCGACCCCTTGCATGAACACGAGATTAACTAGGTAATCAGCCCCAAAGTACGAGTTATCAACAATGATGAATCACTGCGTTCTTGTTGTATCTGCGTATTATCACACATTGGTTGCAAGCTCCGAAATTCAATTATATCTTAGCTTTGCTTTGCGCCACTATAGTGGAAGGAAACGATAGGGCCGACGCACAGTCAGCCTTCCAAGTGCGGCTGAAGAAAGATGACGTATTGTGGATACCTTCCAAGTTGTACCTTACACCCGAACCCCCAGATTCCCCCACTCAGTAGTTCATATTAATCATAATAGTCTTCGGTTCTGTAAACGCCCTCAGCGCATGAACTCCACACTCCCTCCCCAGCCCACTCTCCTTGCTACCTCCAAACGGCGTCATGGTAAACATCAAACTCACGCAGTTGACACCGACCATACCACTATCAAAGTCACTCGCCACCCTCAACGCCTTATTAATATCCTGCGTAAACACACCAGCCATCAACCCAAAGTTCGTGTTGTTAGCCAGCGCCATAATCTCCTCCTCAGTCTTGAAGGACTTGACGACAGAAACAGGACCGAAAATTTCTTCACAGTGGATTTCCGAAGTGGGATCCACGTCAGTGAAGACGGTAGGCTCGAGGTAGTACCCAGATGTACCGATGCGTTTGCCGCCTACAGCGAGGGTACCTTGACCGTTCTGACCGCGCTCGATGAAACCCTGTACGCGCTCAAACTGCGCTTTATCAACCAGAGGCCCGATATTCGTAGACGTCTCGTCCGGGTCGCCAATCTCCTTTGTCTTGTCCTTCATGGCTTGTTTGTACTTTTCGATAAAGGCGTCGTAGATGCCTTCTTGGACGTAGACACGGCTAGCTGCGAAGCAGACTTGGCCTGTGTTTGCGGTGATGGCATTGGCGGTCCACGTCACTGCGTTATCGAGGTTGCAGTCGTCGAAGACGACGGCGGGGGACTTGCCTCCTAGCTCGAGAGTAACGCGCTTGAGGTTGGACTTTGCGGCCATTTCTTGGATCTTCTTGCCGGTTGCAATAGAGCCGGTGAAGCTTACTTTGCGGATGCGCATATGACTTGCGATTAGGGCGCCGGTGCTTCCATCGCCGGTAAGGACTTGGAAGACACCAGGTGGGAAACCGGCTTCTTTGATGAGTGTGCCGAGGGCTAGGGATGAGAAGGGTGTCTTTTCTGAGGGTTTCAGGATGAAGCAGTTTCCTGTTGCGAGAGCTGGGGCGGCTTTGAGACCGATGGTGCCGATGGGTCCATTCCATGGGACGATGCCAGCCGTGACACCGAGGGGCTCGTTGCGAACGATCTTGAGGAAACCATCCTCCTGTGGCCATGACTCACCGCCAAACTTGTCGATGAACCCAGCATTGTATCTGAAAACCTGAGCTCGGTTAGTGATCACTTTCGGAGTCTGAAGTTGAACCAGAAGCCTGGCCAAGGGTCATACATACTTCCGCGCAAAGTCCAATTTCAAAAGCACCAAATGCCGCCGGGGCACCCAGTGAAATTCGTGATAATTGTGCAATACCATCTGCATTCTTCTCAATGAGATCTGCAAACTTGTTCAGAATGCCCCGGCGCTGGTTCGCGCTCATCTTCTTCCATGCTGGGAACGCCTTTTCCGCCGCATCAACTGCGGCATCTACATCCTGTTCGCCTGCAAGAGGGCAGTCGTCTGCGAGTAGTTCCCCGTTCTTAGGGTTGTGGAGTGTGAGCTTCTTGGGTGACTTTGAGTCGACATATTCATTGTTGATGAAAATCTGCTTGGGCAGGTTCTTCGCTGAGTATTGCAAGGTCATGATGGGCGAGGTATGAGAGGGTGATGGGCGGGACAAGCTAATAGAATTGCGAACAAGAAATAAGGAGGAACGGGAGGGGTATATTGGATTTGTATGAAGGATGGTGCTGACATGGGCGAAATCTCACCTCTTCACTAAAGCAGTCGTCTTAACTAAAATGGCAAGAGCCAACACCAGAGGTACATAGGCTGGTGGCGGCAGAGCTCGGAAGAACAATCGCATGTGTAACGTTGCATGAGGAGAAGTCAGCTTGCCGGCAATGTGTTGTGACGAGTGATGAGGTCCGGCAACTAGCGCTCGCGGTTTGTTTTCCGCGTCGCTGGAGCTCATGCGTGTCGATTCATTTTCCCCACCTTCCCCGCAGCAACCCGCGTCATGCTTCAATTCTACCCTGGCGAAGATGACCGCCATTATACTGAATCATGCCAGGGACAGTTATGTGTTCGAAGAGAGTCATGTAAGAAGTAGGGTATCTAGGATTGCATAACGACAAATACGAAGGTGGGTCATATCACGGTTGTTTGTGGAGCAAGAGTAAAGTAGATTCAGGTACGTACTGCTTCTTTAGCATCAGAAAACGATATATGTCTCGAAACGCTCCAAACAACATACAATCATTCAGTCACTAGGTATAGCCAGCTCGGAAGATGCTTTCCTTCTGATCATGCGGAGAAAGTGCACACGGGATGTATTCACGCTTTCCTGATGCGAGCCGTCATCGTACTACTTACCCAGATAGATGCTACGTACTTGCAGTTGATGATAAAATAAACTCGGTTCTTCAAGATCTGAACACTATACCCGTGCTCTACGGACCCTCAGACTTCTAATCTAACAACCTAACTTTCCTTCTCCGCGTCCAAGCCTTCGTTCAACCAGCAAACGCCTCTTCAGCATGCCCACAAAAGTCGCCCTAATCACCGGCGGAGCATCAGGCATGGGACTGGCTGTAGCAACCGCCCTCTCAAAGCGCACTCACGAAGACTGGTCTATCCATCTCCTCGACCTCAATGCCTCAGCCGGCAAAACCGCCACCACGACGCTGAAAAACACACACTTCCACCAAACAAACGTAACAGACTATACGTCCCTCGTCTCCGCCTTCGAAGCAACCTACAACACATCCCAGCGTCTAGACTTTGTCTACGCAAACGCCGGCATCGTCGAACGCGACAACTTCTACCAGCAACACAATCTAGATGGTCCACCACCACCTCCGCCAAACCAATTAAGTGTAGATATCAATTTGAAAGCCGTGATAAACACTTCGTACCTCGCTCTCCACTACTTCCGCAAGACAATAGCAAAGCACGAAAGGCAGAATGTAGATCCCGTGCTGGTAATGACAGCATCGTGCGGCGGTCTGTACCCCTCCGAGTTTTGTCCAATGTACAGTGCGAGTAAAGCCGGCGTGGTCCAATTCAACCGCGCGATCACCGTTGCATATCACCACGAGGGGGTACGGACGTTTGCTACGTGTCCTGGGACGATCAATACGGGGCTGTTGAGTCAGGAGGAGTGGAAGAGTTTCCCGGTGGAGTACTTTACGCCTATGGAGACTTTGGTTGACGGCGTAGTGAGACTGGTAGATGGAGGCGAGATGGTAGATGCAAAAGGTGTGAAGAAGAGCAAGGAGGAGAACTGGGGGTTGACGGTGGAGGTAAACGGCAACAACTTGTATTTCAGCAACGGACCGGAGTTTTGTGATGAGAATATGAAGGAGATGATGAAGAATACTAGCATGGCGAAGCAGTTGGCTAGAATTGAAGGAGGCAAGCAGAATGGGACGAATGGCGCTTGAGTTGTATGTAGATTTGTATTACGCGTCGAACAACATTCATGTAGTTTTATAGCTTGGAATGGCGTCCTGATGCGAGCCTCATACCCCCATCCACAGCGATATCTTCGCCATTGATGTACGCTCCAGCCGGGCTACACAGAAACACCATGACGCCAGCAATATCTTCAGGTTCGCCCAGTCTCTTCCGTGGGTTGTTCTCCTCCAACTCTTCCTGCCCGCCCAGCATCTCGATCAAGCCGTTTGCGAGCTTCGACGGGAAGAAGCCAGGGGCAACGGTATTAGTCGTAATGTTCCTGGGCCCGAGCTCGACGGCGAGTTGGCGGGAGAGGTGGTGGGCTGCTGCTTTGGAGATGCTGTACATGATTGTGCCGTGCTCGCCGACATGGGGCACGGTTGTGCCTGCCGTGGAGGAGACGATGATTATGCGAGACGGCGATTGACGGGTGCCGGCGCGTTCGAGAAGGGGCGCGAAGCTGTTGGTGTCAGGGACCAATCGTGTAGTCGTCTCAGTGGAGATGCTTACAGTCGTGCCAAATTAAAGACGCCGCGGACGTTGAGGTCCAGCACCTTCTTGCTCGACCAGTCTGGTGTCGGGTCGAAAGGGCCTCCCCACGTCGCTCCAGCGTTGCACACCAGGATGTCTAACTTGTTGTCCGTCTCCTGCACCTTCTTCACCAGTCTCTCAATGTCCTCGGTATCGGCGACGTTGGCAGCGATGCCGACTGCTGTGCCGGATACGGGCAGCTTGTTGAGTTTCTCGACGGCCTGGTCAATGCCCTGGTCTCCTTCATTCTTGCGCGCAGAGATGAAGACTTTCTTTGCGCCAGCGAGCAAGAATGCCGTGGCAGTATGGAGGCCGAGACCCCTCGAGCCTAGTGAGGAGGATTAGAAGGCGCTGGTGTTGTTTCCGTGGCATTGCTTACCTCCAGTGACCAGCGCGACCTTGCCGTCGAGGCTGAACATGCGGTTGAAGTCTTTTAGTTCCGACATGATAATCAATCTCCAATCCGACTGGGCAGATGGCGAAATGGCAAACGAGAAGCAATCTCGCAACGCGCCATGTTGACGGATTATCTGGGGTAGGTGGGTGTCGTGGGGAGCTCGGAGTGTGGAGTTCGATATCCTCGGAAGCGGCGCGTCGCGTCAATGCACCCCCGCGGATACCTCGTCTGCCCGGCTGTAGCATCGACGCCTCTTCCATGACGGATCCTCACTATAAGCCACTCTTCCACGATGAAGACACTTGCATCTGTTGCTGTCTGGCTTCAAGGCTATCACGGTTGTCTCGCGTCTTTTCCGTACTCCGACTGAGCCTCAGCATCCTCTCTACCACATCGCAGCAATGCCTTTCCCATCACCCTTCCCTACTCTTGACATTCCAAAATGTAATCTGCTAGATTATCTGTTCCCTCAGGGATCAGTTCCTTCCGACACTCCAATTTGGATTGATTCCAAGGATACAGACCAGCACCTCACACCACGATCGTTGCTACAATGGTCGAAACGGCTGGCGTTGGGTTTGGATCGCATTGGGAGCAAGCCGGGCGAGGTGGTCATGATCTTCACTCCAAACCACATCTTCGTTCCCGTGGCCTACCTTGGAATCGTGGGGTCCAAGCGAATCTTCAGCGGCGCAAACCCAGCATACACGGTCTCTGGTAAGATGGTCTTGCAAGTGCAGCAGGCGCTGTGCTAATAACATCCAGAGATGATACATCAAGTTGCAAATACAGAAGCAAAGTTTATCCTCGCGCATCCAACATTGATCAAAGCAGCTGTAGCAGCAGCCAAGGGCGCAGGCCTTCCAGAAGGACGTGTCTACCTCTTCTCAGACGAGCCCTGCGCACCGGTCGAGGGCTGCAAAGACTGGAGAGATATGTTGGCGTCCCCTGCGGAAAGCAAAATCTACCGCTTCCCGACCTTGTCTGCGCATGAAGCAGCAACAACCACAGCTACAGTCAACTACTCTTCCGGCACTACCGGGCTGCCCAAGGGCGTCGAAGTAAGCCACTACAACCTCATCGCGAACCTGGAACAAACCATCTTCATGCGGTATCTCAACAAGCCATGGAACGCAGACACTCGGCCTCGGGAGACATGGATTGGCTTTCTACCTTTGTACCACGCATACGGCCAGCTTTACACCATCGCCATGGCCCAGAAGCTCCAGATACCCTGCTTCATCATGAAGAAGTTTGAATATGAAGAGTTCCTGCGGGTAATCCAGACGCATAAAGTCACACACCTGCAAGTCGCGCCGCCAATCATGGTCATGCTCAGCAAGAGGCCGGAGACGTCCAAGTATGACCTGAGTAGTGTGACAGAGATCCTATGCGGTGCTGCACCTTTATCAAAAGAGCTCCAGAATGAGATCAGCAAGAAGCTGCAATGTGAGATCGTACAGGGCTGGGGTATGACGGAGGTCACCTGCGGAGCCATACATGTGCCAGGAGGTACCGTAGACGAGTAAGTTCGACCTCTCCTGATTGTCTCCTTCCTTTCGTTCGCTGCTGATACTCTGGAAGCTCTGGAAGTGTGGGTCAACTAGACCCAAATTGCGAATGCATGCTTCTTGACGACGACGGCAACGAAGTCCCCGAAGGACAACCAGGCGAACTCCATGTCCGCGGTCCCAACATATGTCTCGGCTACTGGCGCAACCCAACGGCAACTAAAGAATCTATATCGCCGGATGGGTGGCTCAAATCCGGTGACGTTGCCGTGGTAAAGAATGGATGGTTTTGGATAGTCGATCGGAAGAAGGTAAACGCCTTTCACCCGCTCACGTCTCTCAACCGCATAACCTGCTGACACTTTCCCAGGAACTCATCAAAGTGAACGCCCTCCAAGTCGCACCCGCAGAACTCGAAGCTGTACTCCTCGAGTTCGATCCCGTTGCCGACGCAGCTGCCGTTGGTATCACGCTTGATGGCCAAGAATGGCCGAGGGCTTATGTGGCGCTCAAGGACGAGTACAAGGGCAAGACTACGGCGGAGGATATCCATGCGCATATGAAGATCAAGGTTGCGAAACACAAACAGCTTGTTGGTGGAATCACATTTGTGGATGAGGTGCCGAAGTTGCAGAGTGGGAAGATTATGAGGAAGGTTGTTAAGGAGTGGGCGAAGAGGGATGCTGAGAAGATGGGTAAAGCTAGGTTGTAGACAGCGCCCATATGTTCAACTGAGAGGTCGATTTCATCTGTACATGCTTTCATTAACAGTGCTAAGTTGGGTTGTTCGACTTTCAGATATGATGTGGACTCGATCAAGCAGACAATCGAAGTAATCGTGGAAAGGTCCATCAGGCTGGAGCACAAGGATCTGATGCAAAAGAGTTTTCAACACCTCATCATGGGATTTCACGTTTGGACCATATGTTGCATGAATCAAGTTGCCGACTACAGATTGTTTTCATGACATCGATGTTATTGCCGAACACCCCCGTCTTCACCGTTCCAAAACGAGACAAGTGAGGTCTTGGCAACTACACCTTGGTGTGGTTCGTGCCTGAATGACCCCGCGTAACATCATCCGCGACCCCTCAGTAGATGCGCACCCTCGATGCCCATCATGGCGCATCGAAGTGTCACCGTAGTCATGAATCTCGGCCTGGCTAACCCTGGGATGCAGCCACATTGCGCGCGAACTTAGGGGCTGTCTCGTACTGGCCACGGCGCCTGCGAACAGGCCTATTGTATCCCGCATGACAGCGACCAACCGGCGTGCAAGGAGATGTACAGTGTATGAAGACACCCGAGGCGCGGCTAAACACTGCAGAGATGTTGGATTGCCACGACATGGTGGTGCGACTGCATAGCCTCTTTGTTTATGTTGACGGTGCTGCGTCTTTAAACCTCATCTGCTGGATTTGAGGCTCCATTTCCATAGACCACTCGCGCTTTGTTCTCTTCCCTAATCGTATCACTCCATGCAACCACGGGTACCCCCTACGATAGATCCAGAAGCTTGCCGACCAGTTTCACCAATCGCGACAATGGGGGGTTCTGAGATGCCAAACGGTCTCAACACCAATGGCTACGGTCACAACTACGACTACCCACCATCACACATTGACGGCCCTTACAGAATTCTAGATCAATATCATTCCAAGCCGGCCAAGCTGCGGGTAGCATGTGTCGGCGCGGGTGCATCAGGGCTCTGTCTAGCCTACAAGATGGAGAAGATGCTCGAGCCTGGATCTTGGGAGCTGACGCTGTACGAGAAGAATGCGCAGTTTGGCGGAACTTGGTATGAGAATACGTATCCAGGTGTTGCGTGTGACATCCCATCGCATGATTACAACTTTACTTGGGACCCGAAGCCCGATTGGTCGACCTTCTTTGCATCGGGCAAGGAGATCCAGGGATACTTTGAAGACTTTGCAGAGAGACATGGAAGCAAAAAGTATATGCAGTTGAATAGCCGCATTGAGCAAGCAAACTGGAACGACGAAGATGGTTGTTATAGCCTCACCATAAGGAATCCGAAGACTGGTTCGATGAGGAAGGACTGGGCGCACGTCCTGGTGAACGGCTCAGGTAAGCCTTCAACATCTCACCTTTTCCACAGTGCTAACGATTGGTAGGTATCCTGAATAACTGGAAGTGGCCGGATATCGAGGGCCTACATGACTTCAAGGGACCCGTTCTACACTCTGCATGCTGGGACCACAGCGTCGACTTCACAAACAAAACCGCGGCCGTCATCGGTGTTGGTTCGACGAGCGTGCAGATCGTACCTTCGCTCCAAAAGATTGTGAAAGGGCTAGAAGTCTACATGCGGAGTCCGACGTGGATATCGCCTCCTTTTGGTGCTGGCGCACTCAACGATGATCTACAAAAAGGACAAGACGTCGACCCAGGACAAAGGCAGTATACCTTTACCGAAGCGGATATCAAAAAGTTCAAGGAAGACCCCGAGTACCACCTGGAATTCCGAAAGAAGATCGAAGCAGAGATAAACAGCTTATTCGGAATGTACCAACAGAACTCTGAACTTCAGAATCAGTTCAAGGATGTCATTACCAAGGAGATGCATCGTCGCATGGGCCCTGGCCACGAGAAGCTCAAAGAATTCATCATTCCCAAATGGTCTGTTGGCTGCCGGCGCATCTCGCCCGGCGACGGTTTCCTCGAAGCTCTGGTGCAAGACAATGTGACACCAGTCTTCGACGGCATTGAACGCGTAGTGCCCGAAGGTATCAAAACGCGCGACGGAAAGATCCACAAACTCGACGCCATTGTCTGCGCGACGGGTTTCCAGGTCGCCTTTCAACCCGCATTTACCGTCCGCAACGGCTCCAACGTATCCATCAAGGAAGACTGGACCAACGGTCCTAACCTTTACATGGGTGTATCCGCGCCGCGCTTCCCGAACTTCTATACCATTGTTGGCCCCGGTGCGACCTGGAGTAACGGTACACTTATACCGAGTATTGAGACAACGGTCGAGTATAGCATCAAGTGCATGAAGAAGATGCAGACTGAAGGGATCAAAGCTATGAGCGTAAAGCAGGACGCTCTAGACGAGATATATGCGCATTTCGACGAATTCCACAAGACAACCGTGTGGCAAGAAGAATGCAGGAGTTGGTTCAAGAATGGGCAGATTAAGAATAGGATTTACCTGTGGCCTGGCGCTGTAAGTAGTTTTCCGTCGCGCATCCCCGCCGTCTTTTGCGCGTATCCCCTATCGAACCCCGCATTGGAGCGACGCATGGCTGACAAGAATGGTTTAGACTATACATTTCCTCAAATCTATCAAGACACCACGCTGGGAAGACTACGACTACGTATACCGGTACAAGAACCGATTTGCTTTCCTGGGAAATGGCGACGTGAAGGCGACGAAGATGAGGGATATGCATGGTTTGAGTCCGTATATTCGGAACTACGACCACGAGTGGGATGTTGACTGAGCTGCTGGGAAGGAGACATTTCTTTGATTCTTTTGTGGTGGGCTGGTGGCTGGGGCTGAGAAGACACGTCT